TCCATACATATATATATATTCCATATATATATATTCCATATATATATATATATCATGTAAAATCTACAAATCCTTCAAATCATTCCACTTCCAGGCCTGCTGTCCTGGTGGTCGCCTCCTACGTCCGCGGTCAGTTGAGCGCTGTGGCCTCCGCCGTCGACGCGGTGCCGCGGCCAAACGGGCGGGGGTTGGTTGGGGACCACGGGACCATTGGAGGAATTTAGAGGATTCTCGAAAATCTTTGGTTGGTGGTTTGGAACATGAATGGATTATTTTTCCATATATTGGGAATCTCATCATCCCAACTGACGAACTCATATTTTTCAGAGGAGTAGTTGTACCACCAACCAGATCTGGGTGTTTGACTGTTTTTGATGATTTTTGAAAGTCATAAATCCAGATGATAGGAGAGTAAAAGTGATATGGAAGGACAAACACATTGGAGATCAAATCATGAAGATCAGGAAATTCGATGATTTCAGCACCATTTTTATGGCTATGGCTTAACCATAGAACCGGGGATTGAATTCATACAATTAAATTCATTAGAATGCAACAATTCATCAAATCAGGATCGGAATCCATCAAATGGATAACCATTCTCCCATGTTTATTTATGTCCATCAATTTATACATGTTTATACATACCATTCTCCCAAAAACCATTTCACCAACAGACTACTGGTCAGATAGATGCTCGGCTGGCCTGAAGCTGAAAAGCTGAGATGAAAGAATGGTGAATGGTTAGCTGCTTTGGTACGTACCAAATTTAGCACTTCCAAGAAAAACGATAGACCAGGTATTTAAAAAAAAACTCAAATGGTGGATTTACTGCTTTCATCTTTGCTGTTTTGCACATAGTAGGTGATTGGCAGTTAGAATCGGTAAATCAGTGATAGAATTGTTTCTCAGTGATACCTGGGGAGTGCACTAAGAATTGCTGCGGGTGCAGTAAGGATTGCCGGCAGTGATATTATAAGAATGCACTAAGAATTAGAAGGCCATATCATAACCATGCACTTAGAATTGTATCAACTCCTCGTGGTACCCCCAAATCATCCATTTCTTATAGGATTTTCCATTGTAAACCATCCATTTTGGGGTACCCCCATTTATACATATATTATCCAAATCATCCATTTTGGGGTACCCTTATGTAAGAAAAAAACTATGAGTTAGAAATGCGTATAAAACAATTCTAAACCGTTTTTTTCTAGCACTTAGAAATCGCAGATTTCTCCAAGGCAAAAATGAGGAAAACACATTCTATCTGCTGGTCACTTACTATATTTGTTTTTGGATTCGTTGGAACTAGGAACCGGCCTTCCAGAGACGCATCCAGCATCAATGGCTTGTGCGTGTGAATCGCCGATGTTGAGCTCAGTGGCTATGCTGAAAGCCAAACAACAAGCTAAGTCCTTCGCGAAAAAAAACTTCGGGATGTTTTGGGCTGTACCACAACCAAGCTCTTAGCTGGTAAATGATTACATAAGTCCTCATTCTTAAGAACCACATATTTACATTCATGTAGGTCAACATGACAGCACAATGGATCCCAAATGGTCCACCATGAAAAACCCACATTTCCTCCCTAAAATAGACACAGATAACTCGAAGATAGGAAACTATGTCCCGCACAAGGTGGTGCTCTGCACTTAGCCAAGTTGATTTGGAGGTTAAGTAGGGTTTATGGTGGGTGGATCTTTAGTTTGATAGGTGAGAATTGAACAATTTATTATCTCTTTGGGCCTCAGCTTGCATGAAGCATGTACAGGTGGGCTCCAAGATAGGAAAAAATAGTTTGTAACTAGGTTTATAATGTTTTATGGTAGATGTATCTAGAGTATTCTATATAGATCTATATAGTCTTAACTGACTCTATAAAGCAACATCCATAGCTGTGGGAGGCCCACATTGTACTTGGTGGTTCATCCTACTCGTAGTAAGTTATAACCCCGGTTATAATTGGACCCGACTTATCCATACTTATCCCAATGCAACTCAAGGATGTAACCTCCTTAGTAACTGGGATGAGTTGCCAAGTTGGTCCCCCTTTCCGTATCCGCTACACCGTCTACACCAGGCGACACGTGCGGGCATCACAGTGGTAGTAGCTGCCACAGATCGAGGGTTGACGGCCGGGAGCCGCAGGGGGCCTAGATCAACCAAGAAACGGGAACCAATGAATTTGACGCTTTAATGACAAATGGGAATATGATCAGGATATAATGGGGATATCGCGAGGATATAGCCATATATGTAATATAGTGGGATACTGGAAATGGGATATAATGGCTTATATCGCCGACGATATTATTTTGGGTGTGCCTGAATACGATGATAGACCATATGATAATTCATACAATAGTTCACAAGCATGGTCTATGACTGAGGTTTGGCGCTTTGACTAAGTACCAAACATGGGAAATTTGAGCAGAAAAACTCTATATCGAATCATTGGGGATTGCACAGCACATGAGAAGCGTTGACACCTCCGGCAATCCTTGGCGTTTAAATGGGAAATCCCCAAAAACAAAGTGCGTTTAAATGGGAAATGTATTATTTTCCAGCTAGACATGTTTGGTTAGCAGAGGGTAAAGTGAATTATTGAATATAATCTGGGATATAATTGCATGTACTTCTTTAAATTCCCAGTAATACACAATTCATCTAGTCATATTCCAGTGTTATGATAGTGGCCATGTAGTTATATATATATATAGCCCATTAATGTAACTGAACTATATCAAACACATGTGCGCAAGTGTATGCAATGTCCAATACATGTCTTGCAGGCTTCATATATACATTTTCCCGCAAATCCATTGATTGGGAAGTTAATAGCAGTGAACATACACCTTTGATCAAACATTGACTGAGATGGTGAGGGCAACTTGTCATCATCCAAAACAGAAAGTTACCCTCACCAGGCTTTGATTGATTTTCATCATTTGGTTTGATATGGTTTGATCGTTCATTGATTCATCATCCATTTCAGAAAATCTCCGAAGCCAGGCCCATCCCAACGCCTGTGACTACACTCCGGGCTTCGCGCAATCCGTGCTGACGATCGGAGCCACCACAAGGCGGAGATGGGTTTGTCCCAAAAGGATGGCTAGACTTAAAGAGATTTAATGGAAATTGAATGGAATTTAATGGGAGTTAGGGGGATTGAGGATTTTATGAGGATTTTATGAGAGTTAATGGGATTTATATTGATTCAATGGAATTTAATGGTATCTAGATAACGTGGATTCAATGGTTATAGCTCTTACTGTGGCCTTTGGAATTGTAACTGGTGAATCATGGTCAACCGGAAGACAAACCAATTGGTGGGCAGATGGCATTGGGCACTGATCTGCACAACTTGGGCTCCAAACCTGACGTAGCATGATATGGAAATTATGGGGCAAACATCATCGAATTATAATCCTGGAAATGCTTGTTGTCATCTTTTTAAGGGGACCCAATGGATTTGTGGTTTATCGGTTAATCATCACATGATCCAATGGTTTTTGGATATGGCTTATTTGAATATCATGATGATAAGCCATTGGATACATAATGGGTGCCTCCAAAGACAATGATCTATTCATCATTATTATCTGTAAGAATGATTAATAGTGGTTATGGCGGCTATATGTCAGGTTCTGTTCTTGAACACACCCATGCCTACAAAAACTCTTGGATTGATTTTTGGTGGATCCTTATATTGCAGTTGAATGGGTGAAAACACATCAACTTCTGATTCCCCCGTGTTTTCGGTCTTTGACCATTGACTTGCCATTTGTTTTGTTGAATACGTGGGACATGTTATACCATCTGTTTGGAAAGATGTGAAACGCATTCATTTGGTCCGAAACACGATGCGCCAGGGTTTTGACCCCAAGCAACGGCTGGTCTGTTTTGCGGAAACGGCGGGTAACATCGCTATATATACTACATTTGAATGCCGCTCTTCCCATGTTTTACTGGACAATACTGGACAGCTTGGCCATCGCCAAATCTGCATTGCCTCACCTCGATTTTGATTCTCCCCATACACCAGATGTGTGGGTGACAAGACAAAGTATCATGGCTATGAAATAGTGTGACATTTCCAAGTTTGTTGGTTGATGTTATCATTACCCTCTAGTAATTTGTTGCATAGTTATGGAACATGGCCCATTTAGTTCGATGATTTACCTATGGGACATGGTGGTATTCCATAGTTGTTCTCATCATTCCGGATATTTTCTCAATAGGTTGGTTTCAGGGATAATCTACAGGAAACCATAGTTGATTCCATGAAACATGGGGGTTTCCATGTAAGTCGTCATACTCTTCTCTTGAAAAAAACATGTTTCACTTCGGGATCATGCAACAGCAGTTGCGCCTGTTGCGCAAGACTCGCGCCTTGAGACCAGGCGCGACACGCAAGCGTTGACCAGCAGTTCTGGGACTTGTCGCTTGATACTGTTTGGACTGGGGGATTTTCATCATGGGCCTAGCGGAAAGAGGTGGGCCCCCGAAAGGATAGGGTAAACAAGAAGCACTGAATATGGGTTGAAGGGGATTTGACGGGGATTTAACCAACTATACTTAGCTAAGTTTTGGTTGAGTTCTGTGGCATAATTAGGCTGTTTGGCAAGTGCAACTATAGTGAATGGGGTATATAGACCAACTTACAACTGTGGGGGTCCCACTGGTTAGGAGTGATTGGGGGCTACGGGGCCATGTGTAGCGCTATGTCCATATTCCTTGTGAAATGGGAAGCCAAGGAAGGACTAAGAGTTTCCAACAACATGATAGATAAATCGCATTGGGAAAGGCGGGGCAATCCTGGCTTTGATTGTTGGTTGGGGTCTATGGTACTGATCTTCCCGACTCGGGAGCCTTTGTAGCCGTTGTTTTTCAAAACGTTTCGATCTACCAAAGTGCCAAATGGGGAGTCAATCTGTGTGTTCATTTCTTTTGAAACTCGGAGTCTATGTCTATATATCTCAGATATCCCTGAGTTGATTAATTATTCAACCGTAGCTGGAATGATTTGCTTGTATCCAATTCAGGAGGATTCAAAGGAACTCACATCCGGATTTCTGGGCACCTAGACCTGGCGACCAATTACACCCTTCAAAGCAAAAAAAAATGAAATTAAAGAAAGAAAACATAACATACATTAACATACATTAACATGCTATAATAATAAAATATATTCCCATGCGCTTAATTTGCTGGCAAGACATCGTGACCAGATTCAAGCCGCTCAAGCTCTCCCCCTCCATCCAGTTATAAATGGATGTATCCAATATGATTGCCAATATGCAATTGGGTGAGTTGGTCATGCTTCTGTATCACTTAAGAAGGGGCCATTCAGTGAAATTCAATCCAACACTTATTGTATATAGGTACAAACCCACAAAAGCCTGTATCATATCATACTGCTAGTCACTAAACATCTATACCATTTTAGTTATGTATGTCCCATTAGTATTGTTAATTGCATAGGTATACTCCTTGTACAACCCATTACAATCCATTGATGTTATTAATGATAGTCAAGTATGCAATATAAACCCAGTTTTATTGTCCAAGGTGATATCAATTGTTGTTTCCATTGTTTGCTTGCTATAGCCAATAACAACCCACCACTATCCACTTAGTATAGTGACAAAATTACATGGTATGCTTCCCATAACCTGCACCGAAGCATTTCTGGGACCGGCTTCGCTTAGCTTCGCTTAGCCGAGGTATAGATCTCCTGGCCCCCGGGGAGGAAGTGGTCACCTGTGGTGTAAGTTGGGAGCGCTCAGGTGTCGGCATGAGGAGTGGGGGAGATCTAAGCAACAAATAATACCCTCTGGTTATGACTAACAGTTCGCCATGGAAAATCCCAACCATAAATGGAGGTTTCATTCGCTGGGAAAATCATCTATAAATGGGCAATTTTCCATGGCTATGTTAAATAACCAGATGGTATATAGTGTGATAAACTGGTAAACCAAATAAGAAGATGTGGTATGTACTAGTAGCAAAAACAAAGGGTAAATCATATATATATATATATTAAAGTTGTTTGCATAGTGGATGAATATGTTTTTGGCCAGCAACAAGCATAAATTGATGGTTTGCATATAAGGATTCCAATCCAATGGGATATAGCAACAATGGGTTATAATGGGACAACAATGGGAATACAATGGGGATACAGTGGGATATAATGGGATTTGATGTGGAATTGCTGTGCTAAAAGGTGGGGACCCCGTTTGAAATAGCTCAATTCCATTCATTAAATACCATTGTTCAAACGGTAAAACAATAATAAACCACCCATGACTGGGAATGTTTTATACCACCTATTTATGGTGATTTGGGGGATGCTTTACTGTTGTTTTACCCACATTAATTGCATCAATCCCTGGACGCTATTTCCAACATTAGTGTTTTACCCACAGTTATAGTTGACTTACCAATTAAAAGTGGTGAAAATCTCAATAGTTATGTAACCGTTTGCCAGAGGATAATGTCATCCATAATTCATCTTTAAATATTGTATCAATATCGGATGTTCCATATCATTCTTGTTTTGCCCACTTTGTACCATATTGTATCTCCATTTATAGTTGATCTACCTATCTTATTAGTGGTGATTTTCAATAGTTATACCACCTATAAAAACAATGGTGATGACTGGGTGATGGTTCATTATTGTTGTATCACCATAAAATAATAGTGATAATAATTGCAATAATAATAATAACAATAACCACCCCATTTGGGAATTATTGAAAAATCACCAGCATAAAGATGGTGATGACTGGGGGATCACCCACATGATATCTCCATGATTCATCTATAGATCATGTATAAATATTGGATTTTCCATATATATATATATATATATATACGCTTCGCGTAAGGCCTGATGGGTGCCCCTACACCGAAAACAACTGACCTTCTCGTCATCAACATGCCGAACATGATGATGTACCTTCATCAACATCGTGTTTGCAATGACCTACCTCGCGCTCGTGCGGTGGGATGCGACGCATTAGGCCATTGGAAGACAACGATTTTGAAAGAATATCCCCCTTCTTTGTGCCTGGCTTTCGCCAAGGCGTTTTCTTTTGGCATTTTGGAATGCCCAATCTGCCCTGATGTACAGGATCCGCCCCAGTCATTCATTGACACTTGCCACACCATGCATTGCACAGACTTTGGTGAGGTCATGGGACATGATTTTGCTGGGAGGCGGTGACTGGTTTCAATTCATTTGCATAGCCGCATCGAATGCTTCAGTGTGCGACAGCCAAAAAATATTGAATCATATCACCATGGTTAAACCACTATTTTCACCACTATTTTCACCACTATAAACCACCACTAATCATTGGATCTTTCCTGCTTTCCATGGTGGTTTCCAGCTAGGCTCGGACCTCTCGGAAGCGTTGCCGCAGCGCAGCTCCAGCGCGCTGGCGGCGGCGCACGCCGCCGGCGCCGCGGCGCTGCTGCTGTCGGAGCCGGGGAAGCCCAGCCGTGGTTCGAACGACGCGAAGCCCGGGGGAAGCCCGGGGGAAAGCCATGAAAACACGGGGAAAATGAGGAAAAACAGTGAAAAAACAAAGAGGAAAGTTGGCCGAAAACTTGAGAAAACGTGGACAAAATGCATTGTAACCTTGTTGTTGGATGATTTGTTGAACAGTAGAACTGATGGTTTTATTTAAAGTAGCCGACAGACAGGGGTATTTGCGTTCAAGAATGTAAGGAGTGAACGAGCGAAACGTTGAGATTCAGAAGATTTAGTCGCTGAATCATGGGTGAAATCGAAACCACTGTGGCATCCCCACCGATCAAAGAGCGTACAAGATGATCTAATGGATTAAATGTTATGAAACTACATGTTTCCTATATGAACCATGTCTGGAATTTTCATACATCTACATTTATGTAGGCATATAGGATAATTTAGGTTGCATTCTGTGTAGATTCATCTAAATTCATTCAGGCTGGTAGATTCATCTAAATTCATTCAGGCTGGTTTTTAGACCTCCTTATTTAATTTGAAGTCATTCATCCAAATAGTGGTTTCCAAGTCAGACCACCAGAGCGTATATTCATGTATATTCCCTATATAGATCCAAATCCTTTTTTGAGAAGGTACTTAACCCCTAAACTTACTTGTGCTAAGTCCGTAGGGAATTTTCGGGAATGATCCACAACTATCAATAATCCCAGCAACCCCCAGCAACCCATCCATTCCCTACGGACTTAGCCCCAGTAACATGGAGCCAAGGAAGCCGCACCTGCAGGCGAGCGAGGCGCCAAGGGGTGCTCCAATCATCTCCACTGGAGCTGGGTGCACCATGATGATTTTACCAAAAACATTTTTTATTTTCGATACTTTTCCATAATATATGGGATGTCATCCTTCCCATTGACGAACTCATATTTTTCAAGATGGTTAAAACCACCAACCAGTAATGGTTTCACATGTTTTAACCATCCGGGGAGATATTAGTGTAGCCAATTGCAATTGCGAACTTATTCCCGCAAGGGGCAGGGAAATTGAGGATGTTACCTTGTAACTGGGGCATTGGCAACCCTTAAAATCTGATTCAAAGATGGACCACCATTTGTGGGTCCCAGCAGTCTTTCTACGTTATAGTTGGATCTACCAAAAATCTTAGCAACATATAATTCAATAATATACATACATGTATAAATATGCTACCCCACACATATTAATTGTTGAAGTGTTCATGTAGGGAGCTGTATGTACCCATTCTCCCAGCTGTACACCTCTATACACCGTGATACAACAGATGTAATATGATACATATAGTACATGTGTATCAATATTGAATTATATATAACATCATATACACACTCATTCACATCTTATCACTATTCATGTCGCATCATATTTATAGAAGTATATGTAGTTATATGTTTATGTTCATACCCCATTGGTCCAATGGGAATTCCAGGATCCTAAATTGGAGGTACTGTACCATATTGTTGGCCATATTTTGTGGGGATATTCCCTTACATAGGCCTAAAAAACTGGCCTTTATATATGGTAGGTACCTCCAATTTAGGATCCTGGACTGGCCATTGATGTTTGGTGATCTACCATCTGGTTATGACTAACATAGCCATTGAAAATCCTTAAAAATGAATTTTATAGCTGGGAAAATCATCTATTTCTATGGGCCATGACTTCCATGGCTATGTTAGTCATAACCAGAGGATACATGCCCAAGTAAATATAGATTATAGACATGAGTTCGACCACTAATCTCAGTTGGACCAGTCATGGGTACCAACAGATATACCTATTGTATGGGTACCTTCTTGCACGTTCCAAGGTAAATAAACCATATGAGATTATAGATATGAGTTATTTATAGATTATAGATAAGCATTTACATATCTATAAATCCCATCACTATAATATCCCATATCTATATAAATAATATATTTACCATGGGGATATGGTAAGATCCCCAAGGTCTCCGCCGCGAGGTGAAGCAGACCTTGATCGCCACCAGCACTGTAGGGCGCTTGTCACAGCTGCATGGCTCACCAGACAGGCACTGGGGGAGCCCTGTACAACCACAACGTTGATCACCGGTGGGGATCTAACCATAACCATTTTGTGGGATGTATAACAGGAATGAATGGAATGGTACATGTAGGCCAACACTATTAGTCCCCATGCTTTGGTGTCTTGCTTGTTTCTCAGTGGTGTTTTGGAGTCAAAATGTGGGTATGCACTTTTGCAAACAACATGCATATTTCACATTGATGTGGAATTGAAAGCAGGTCCACCAAGCATTGCTAGTTTCTGGGGGCTTAATCAGAAGTTGCCTTCTACATACACCCACATTTGATGAAATGTGATTTATTTAGTTGCATCGCATTTGCCTACCCAGATTTGAATCTTACCATGGTATGTTGCTGTTGGGGTTGTATCATGTACTATCCTGGGCGAAATCCAAATTTGCAAGTCAGAAAACACGAATTGGGTCTGTCTCAAAAATAGGATCCCTTAAAAAATTGTTGTTGATAATTTACACACCATTGGAAATTTACAGATATGATATCCCCATTAAGTCCACATTTTATTATATCCCCAAATGTAATATCCCCAGAATGCTCATTTTACTGCTGATATATCTCCATTAAGTCCAAACATATTATATCCCACATTTATTAAGCCCATTACTGGTTGGTGGTTTGGAACCTGAATTTTATTTTTTCATATTTTGGGAATGTCATCATCCCAACTGATGAGCATATCTTTCAGAGGGGTTGAAACCACCAACCATATTAAGTATGGAAACTAACATAACTATGCAAAATCACAACTTTTAATGGGCAAATCAACTGTAAATGGCCATGTTCAATAGCTATGTTAGTCTACCAGAGGGTAAGTATGGTTGCTTTCAGAGCACCGTTCCCTTTTCCGTTTCCTCCACATCCGCCAGGTTGCTGAATTCCCTTGGTGAAGAGCTGGAAGTCCCTTTCTGGGCTACTGAGGTACCATGAGGGGACACCCCATGCTGTGAACCTGACATAATGGGAAGGTCATGCGGATATTGTGGAACATGACAGAACATCATGACGGATTATTGGATTTACTGGATTGTTGGGATGATACTTGTGATTGAGTTTTATTGAAGTGTGTGCATAATTGTTGGCATCATGTCATGTGATATAAATGGCGGTATTAGTAGAAATGGTAAATGATGCACAATCTTATATTGGGAATGATCTCAAGATTTTAGGTTCTTTGGGTATCTTTGGGTATAAGTTTCGACCTCAGCAAGATCTGGTAACAAACGCAGAAACGCGCATTAGTGAAGATGGGGCATTGGTGTTGTTGATTGTGCGATTATCATAAGCGAACTTGTCCGTGGTTCATGCCACCTGTTGTTGCGGGTCACTGAACACTTCCAAACTTCAGAAATTTGTAGGGCTCCCACATTTTTTGGACACCCTCAAATAGCAAGGACTTGTTGCTTGCTTTATCCCAATTGCTGCCGGTGAATACGGTATAACAGATCTTGCTTTCCCTGATTGCCTGCTTGAATTTCCTTATGTTGCGCTATCTTCCTTTTTCGGTTGGTGAGCACCCCATTTTGTTGGTTCATGCCCCTTGTTTGTTAGTTCAATTCAATCCCCTACTGTTGATGCTGAAACTCCACATTTGCTGGTTGAACCACCAGTTTTTTTGATTTAATCTCCACTTTTTGTTGATTTAAATCTCATTGTCGATCTTGAACACCCCCAAAGGTTTGCTTCCAGTAAAAAAAAACCAGCGTTTGTTCGAAGATTGTAGGGAACATACCCACGTTACCCTATCCCTAAATCCATCTCAATCCATTGATCCATCTGAAATTCCCCAGTTTTAAGGGGTCAACCTTCGCCAGGGCATGTGGAGCTTGGTCGATGGTGGAAAAGACCGCGAATGCGGTCCCGGGTGCCCAGTACCCTGGGCAGCTGGGGCGGGGGATGCGCCAAATCCTGGGAGATATGGGGAAGCCATAGCTCCCAAGATAGCGTTCATTTGCCTTATTTTTGTGGCTGAATTCTATGGTTTATGGTAGATATAACTACGTATAGTTAATGGTGGTTTTGTTATGGTTTATGAACCAACTTATAATTGGGGGGCCCCATCCTGTAGCCATAGCTGGAATTAACACGCTATTCATATGGATTTTGCGAACTTTTCTGGGGATAGAATATATTTAAGGGCTGCCGCCCCTGCCGCCGACCCCGGAAGACCTGAAAGAATTCCTAAAGCAAACCCTGCATGAAATTCGACAGAAACCTTAAAGAAACTCGAAAGAAAACTTTTAAGAGATGTAAATCTTTAAGAAACGCGAAACCCGAGTGAATCCCAGAGAAGCTCGGCATGAAATTCTAATTCTTTTGTTTTATTCTCTTCTGTTTGGATCCTAAATGAAATGAACCCTAAAGAAACCAGAAATTGACCTAAGAGACCCTAGACGACACTCTAATAAGGTTTGAAGGAAATACTAAATGGAACCCAGACATAACGCTTGGACATTCTTACCATGGTTTTGTCCGCGCAGTTTGATGGACTTTGGCTGGTATGTACCTTGCAATGTAAAGTTATGTAGTGTAATTTGGTGTAATGTAAATGTACTGTCATTGTATTCGGCTGCTGCTGCTGCGGATGCCGGTCAACCAGCTTCGAAAAAAGCAGTTCCCGGCAACAAAACACTATGGCTCTGAAACACGAGCAAGTTCCAGAACCACGCCAAAAAACTCCCTAACCGGTCGTCTGAAATTCTAGAGAAAATTCTATAGAAAAACAGCATTTGTCGAGAGATTCTGTTGCCTGCAGCTACTCGCAGGAAAATAGCTTCGAAAAAAGCACCTGCCGGCAGCTCCCGGCAGCAAAAAACCATGGCTCTAAAGAACGAGCAAGTTTTAGAACCACGCTAAAAAACTGCCTAACGTGTCGTCTGAAATCCTGGAAAAACAGCTTTTTTCGAGAGAGTCTGTCGCCTGCAGCTGCTCGCAGGTGGAGGCTGCTGCTAAGTTATATTGGTGGCATCTGGCCCCAAATTGGTAGCACTTGGCTCCCACCCTGCCCTCCCAAATTGTGACATCTGCACAAAGCTGTACATGGCTATATACATGATACATGGTTTGCAGGCATCTGTACATGCTTTGTACACTGTAGCCAGCTGGCATCAGCAACCTCATTAGCACAAAGCATGCTATCCAAAAGTTTGGCCAAAGACATGGCAGTGCCATGATTTTACTCTGCTGGAAAAACTTGAGCCTTTTTTTAACCAGCATGGTCAGGCCATACAATATCATCTATATCATTATTTCATAAGCCATACTTCATGATCAGTATCACTATCCCATACCTTATCATGACATCACACCACCTAATAACCAATCATGCACAAAAGTACGAGTGTACCATTACACCAAGTTTCCCGGATTTCAAGGAATACATTTTGGCCAAGGGTTTGTCAGCTTTGCCTGTGGCATGTTCCCACGACCTCTGGGCCTTGAAGGCTTTCTTGATAAACGTCCTGGCCACAACATAGCACATAGTTGGGTAGTGACATCGGTTGTGGTGTTGGGGCATCAATATGGATTGTTGGCATACCAGTGCCATGTTGGCCTAGGAACCCGCGCAACACATAACAACATGTTTAAATGCCGATCCTGTAGTAGTCAAAAGAATGTTGATCCCATATAAGATCATGTTTGGGGCATCTGTCATAGTACTTGGTGATCTATGGTGTGATTTGCACATCCATTATGATTAATGGGGTGTTGGAAATCCAGTGATGAATATGATTGGGGTATCTCATTCAAAGCAGCTAGTGATGTATGATGCGATGTGGGTATCCATTATGTTTTCCCAGTGTGGTGTTAAAACCAATTCTAAACATGGTTGAGGTATTTGTCAATCATAGCATTTAGTGATTGTTGACGTGATTTGGGCACCCATTACTTTGATCAGTGGTTCCTGAACATGCTGTTTCATGGTCCAAGAACTGCTACTAACTTCGGCCACCAATGGGTTGATATACTTTCTACCACCAAATGGGTTTGGTTAACAACCGCCAGCCAATACAAGATAATGGCAAACCTTTTGGGATCTTGGTTTTGGAGCCAGAATGATGTGTAAAAACCCTCATGAGGGTACAGGGTTCAAAGTTGAACTTGATCCATTGGATCGCCTTGCGCCCATGTGCGCTATGACCCTTGATGGCAGGACCGCGCCTGGGCTGATGGTGGGATGTAACCTCGGCCGTCCACAATGTCAAGAAAGTAATGGAATACTAGCTATATCAAAGTTGATAATATCAGATCCAAATTGCAATTGTCAGATCAAAATTGACATTGTCTATCTATGGTATTGATGCATTCCTCTATGTGCAGTGCATGGACGCACAAGGCAGTGATTCACACTTGACCGTTTGTTTTTTTCATGTGACCTCGAAATCTCTTTTGCAGAATCCCTGGGACAAAACCCCAAAGTGAACCAGGGCAGATCCGCACTGACTGTTTTTCAGAAAACAGCTGGAAAACAACAAAATCACAAAGTATGTTTGGTTGATGGAAAAACCATACAACATCTGACGTAAGCTAAGTGTCAAAACTCATCATCACAGTTGTGTGCCCACATCAGCGCTGAACCCCGGCGCGTGCACTCAAGAAATCAGCACGGGTAGTGCTTTCCATCCAAGCTTTGCAAGCAGCCTTAAACCTCTCTTGGGATTTAGGCATGTCACTGAGTTCAATCCATTCAGAGATGAACTTGTCACGCGCTCTGGCCAATGAGGACGAAACAGATGGCGATGGGATGGCCAGTTCAGGACTGTCCGCTGCTGGGGCAGTGGCAACCAGGGCAGTAGCTGGTGGGACTGCCTCACGTGGAACCCCTTTGGATATCCACTTGGCATGCCATGCACGGCTGCTAGCACGGTGCAACTCTTTTTTTCGGTCCTTTTCATTTCCACCTTCAGATGCAGAAAGTTCTGTTGGGCCATCTTCGGGAGGTGGCTGTGGGCCATCTGAGCTGGTAACCATAGGCTTCACAGGCATGCTGGCATACTCAGGCACCATGACGGTGGTCTTTTCATCGGGTTCCTTCCCAAAAAGATCTTCTTGAGTAGCAGGGATCTCATCCATGGATGGGTCCATGTAGACCGTGTCACCATCTTGAGGAGCAGGGATCTCATCCATGGATGGGTCCATGTTGACCATGTCACCATCTTCAGTAGCAGGGATCTCATTCATGGCTGGGTCCATGACCTTGTCACCACCCTCCAGAACACCGCTCTTCAAGCGCTTCAAGCCTTTAGCCACTTCACTGCTTGGCCTGAAAGAGGCGCCAGTGAGAATGGTCTAAGAGCTGGATCATTTGCCATCTAGAATTTTACCCATGACATGTACCTCATACCTCAACTTCATCCAAAAAAATATGACCTGTGAATCATATTTGATATAAATACATTTTAAATTACTTTACTTCGTGTGATCCCCACCATGACATTTATACATTTTCTTACTGGCAAATCTTCTGGCATTCTATCTGACATATCTTTTGGCATATCTTCTGGCATATGTTCTGGCATATCTTCTGGCATTCTATCTGGCAAATCTTCTGGCATATCTTCTGGCATTCTATCTGACATTGCATCTGGCATATTTTCTGGCATTCTATCTAGCATATCTTCTGGCATATATTATGACATATCTTCTGGCATTCTATCTGGCATTCTATCTAGCATATCTTCCGGCATATGTTCTGGCATATCTTCTGGCATTCTATCTGGTATATCTTCTGGCATTCTATCTGGCATATCTTCTGGCATATTATCTGGCAAATCTTCTGGCATTCTATCTTCTAACTTTCTTCTGCACATTCTTTGTCCCATATCTTCCTACATGAGGTCCGGCAGGGAACACTTGGCGTGGATACTCGCGGTTGAGGTCCGGCAGGGAACACTGGGCGTGGATGGTCGTGGTTGAGGTCCGGCAGGGAACACTGGGCGGGGATGGTCGTGATTGAGGTCCGGCAGGGAACACTGGGCGGGGATGGTCGTGGTTGAGGTCCGACAGAGAACACTGTGCGTCGAGGGTCGCGGTTGAGCAGGAGGAGGAGGAGAGGAGAGGAGGAGAGGAGAGGAGGAGAGGAGAGGAGGAGAGGAGCAGGCAACTGACATAAAATCTAACAACCCTCACCTGGCAGGTGGGGAATCAATAAATGTATATATATATATATATATTTATTTACATATAAATGACCACAGTCTCATAAATTCCAGGTATGTTCTATCATCATCATGACAAATCTAGAACATTGCTGGGCATCACTTCAGTATATACTGTTTGAGATGGCTTGGTACTGTTTTAAAGATCATGCAAATCACAAACTTGCAAAAATTGTTTCCATACCAAAGTCATCATGAACCAAACAACGAGTGACGAATCAGGGGCATTCAAAGAGTCTTCAACCCCCACCGGCTGCACCACAGAGGGCTGACGGGATCCGATGACCAGGGTGGTTGGAGTAGGGCGTGTGTTCTCATGGATCAAAAAGTGATGACGTTTGTTGTTCTGGTTCTCGTTCTTGGAAGCCATCATCCTGCGAGGGTTGATTTCATACTCCATCAGCTCATCATCATCTATAACGATCTGCGTGGACAAGCTTGTCATTCCACACAGCAACAAGTAGGCACACAGCCAAAAACCCTTGGATTCTTGGATCAAAATGGCTTTGTGAAATTCAGGTTGGTTGTCATAAGACTTGGTCATGTTAAACATGTTGTTCCACAAAGATCCACAAACAAAGTTTCCGAAAAATGAATCCAAAATGAAATCGACAGTTCGACAGAGAAATGCTCACTGCAACAAATGGGGGTGACAATGATTGAAAATCAGGGTTGCTGAAATCTTTTGAAATCGACATGTCCATAGAGAAATGCTTGCTGCAACAGCTGGCAGTGACAATGATGATTGAAGACTCGCAGACCATGCTTTCTGAAATCCATGGCAAAGATTGAGAAATCACCACTGAGATTGGATGTTTTTCACAAGCTCTCGGCCAATCTGTGCACTGCGCAAATGGCATCCTCGGATACCGCACGATCCATCATGATCTGCAACCCATGTGCGTGGCTAGCACATCGAAAGATGATGGCCACAGCGCCCCTATCAGATCTAGAATCTAGACAAAACGGCAAAGCACAGCAACAGGTCATCAGGTGTTCAGATGACGCGTTTGCACGAGCCCTTCTGGAGCTCCAAGTCACACGGCAAAAAATACAATGGCTTCGCCGGTGCGATGCATTTCTCATTGGTCCAAAAGCGGAGCCTCCATACCTGAGAACACTGAGTGGCCACCATGGAGAGTGGACATGGAAACCACCCAAAATCCAAAAGACCAACCAAAATCTAGAAACAGAACCTTACCAAACCATGATTAAATGGTCCAAGGCACCTTCTGCAACGGGCTGGCCTCCAGGGATGCCGAAGAAAACGAGGACGCAACATTGGCAGCTTTCAGGGCTCTGGCAGACACATTGTTGGGTTTCCAAACCAGGGCGTTTGCAGGGTCAGGTCGGACTTCAAAGCAGTCTGCTTCCCGACCTTGCTGAACGCTTGGTGGCCGTGCACAGTGATGGCCTCCCAAAGTATAGTCCACCACACCCTTTGCGCCTTGGAGGGCCTGGCGAAGCGTCATCACAGGGCCGTCAACACTGTCTTCCTCCAGGGATAACTCAGTGGCTAGCAAAACAAAGCTTTTCAAAACAATTTACAAACCAAAGCCCATCCCAATTGCTGAATCCCAGTCCTCAACCACCACCAGCACTTGATCGCTGGTCCAGGCACAAGCAATGCCTTTGCCAGGGTGATCTTTCTGAAACTTCTCTGCTTTGTCCCCCAACAGCCATGTGCCAGCTCCATGACACACCAAGGGCGTACCAGTGTTCTTCATGCACACGGCCTCTTTCGCATTGACGAAGAGGGCAGGGCCTGGGGCAAGGACAAAGGACGTGGAAGAGTCAGGGCCCGCAAGCTCAGTGAAGTCATCGCTGCACTTGGTCTTCAAAGCTTCGAAAGTGGCAGGCTCATCAGCGAAGTACTTCTTCCAAAACTCAGTTGGAGCTGCCACCTCGGAGCTTCCAGCTGAAGGACCCTGCGCCATAGCCACAGCAGAGGGAATGGCGACCCCCCAGTCAGCATCGAATTGTTTCAGCTGCTCCCTCCAATCTGGAGACCACACTGGATCAGACAAGAAAGCTTGCCGCACATCCCGTGGGATCGTAAGCCTCCCATCAGCCATCTGGCACACTTTCAGCTCTGGCATGGCTGGAGAGCTTGGCATCTCCTCTGCTGCCGGAGCACTCTTGTAGCGGGGAGTGGCCTTGTCCATGGGAAATCTTCCGGCTTTCCAAGCCTGGAATGCCAGAATCAGACTGCAAAAAAAATTGAAACAGAGTGGAGCGGCAATCTTTCAAGTGTCAAACCCCCCCTGTCCTCCACCAGATGGTTCTTCACAATCTCCTTGCCAGAGTTGTGGTAGAGGGGCTGCCCAGAAGATGCAAGGACCAAGTGACCCAAACGTAGCCCAGCCATCTCCACACAGCCATCGTAGAGAGTCGGATGCACCACCACTGCACCATGGAAGTTCTTGCGATCACCTGCATGCAACAGTTTCCCAAACACTGGAAAGAAGGAAATCCAGGGCCAGGGCTGGGGTTGGAAACACAACATGGCACAACCCTGTTTGAGCGGGATAGCCTGTCAGGGCTTCCAAGATGCTCTGTGGAACTGCCTGTCCCCCCAACCACTGCGCAGTCTCCTGTAAGTCCGTCAAGGACCGGCGGGTATCATGGGACAGGAAAGCTTCGCCAGGCACCACAAAGCTCTTCTCGTCCAGCGCCTTGGGAAAGTTCGCGAGCTGCAAGCTCTGCCGCAGCCACAACTGCGAGGTGCAAAACCTGACACAAGGGAGAGAAAAGTAGGTGGAAACCACATATGCTTGATTGGGCTCAGAGAGGCAAAAAAAAACAGAGCAACTGCAAAGAAACAGCAAAGCAAAAGCAAGTCAAAAGCAAAGCAAAATCAAAAGCCACAGCTAAGACTAAGAAACACATTGGTTTCAGCATCAGGTGCTGGCGCTCCTCGAACAGTTCTGTGAGCAGTGCCTTTGAGAGGAAGCGCAGAATCAGGTACACCAAGGTAACATGGATATGCAGCTGGCAGCTCCCTGTTACCATGGATGTCTGCCAAATTCAGATTGAGGCAAAACGGACGAAGCTCAATCTTGCAGGCCACCAATTTGTTTTCAATCTTCCTGCTGGGAAAAATTGTTTACACCAGGCCCCTCAACTTTCTGAAAAAGGGTCGTCTTAGAAATATGCTTGGAAAAACACATCTCCTCAAGTCTCCGCGCAAAGTTCCAGCGCTTTCAGTGCCGACCAACAACGGTGGCAGCAGCACCAACACAGACCCTGAGGTGGGCTGTTGGGAGAGAAGAAAAAAGGACAAATCTAGACGACAGGTGCTCACATCGACAACAGGAACGGACTGGGCACCAAACGCTTGGTGTTCTTGAACAAGATTTTCTCGGCGTAGTCGCCAATCAGGTTCACCTCTCCCTGGGTAAGCACCCCAAGCTTGGTGCAATCGAAGTAGAGGATGCAGTCCACATCCCCAACAGCCACCTTGATGGGATGCTTTAAAATTGAAACTGTCAAGGCCCACACAAACCCAATTTTTTGGTCAAAGCCCAGCCTTTTTGCTGGATGCAGTGCTTCGGAGGAAAGCATCCAGGCCAGTGTCAAAACTGTCCTTCTTGGTCACCAAAGAGAGCCGGCAATTCTTCTCCATGAAAGATTCGCAGAGCCTTGGATGGTCATATCAAAATTACAGACTTGTTACAGCTGGAATGCTAGCTGGGCTGGGTGTGCAACACTTGGAGAAACTGGAAAATTCAAGCAAAAGCTGGCTCAATGCAGACTCGCTACTGCTTCCCCATAGTCATCTGGGCCTTCTGGTGCATCACGTTGACCACATGACTGCGTCGGGTGGACTCATCCTGTGCTGCATTGAACCCTGTCATGGCAGCCACATCTTGGGCAAGTTTCGCAGAGATCTCTCGGTAGCGAGCTGCTTGGGCTTGATCTTCCATCTCGACCAACTCCACTTCTGTTGCGACAGCTGCTGGCCCGGCTGGTGGCTGGACCAAATCAACCCAAAGGGAAAGATGTTCAGGCTTCCAAGTGCTCAGCTTGGCGGTCACCGCAGCTTCGATCTCTGTGATGTAGTCCCTGAGCCACAGTTTGAAACACATATTACAGCATACTATGGCGAACATGGCTGTTGGCCAGGAACCGAAATGGGGTTTAGAACTTGGCTGTTGGCCATGAACCAAAATTGGGTTTAAACACCAAAGAAAGCTCATGGTGGATGCGGCTGAGAAACCGCTGGAAGAAAGCCTTTTCCATGGCGTGATCTTTCTCCTCAGTCCAGCTGGCCAGCGCACGGGCTTCTGTCCAAACATGTGCAAATACACATGCAAAGTCACAAATCTGGTCGAACTGACTGGAACTCAGTCGGGCCCTTCCACGGGCTGATGGGCGCATCCGGCGACCCGCATCTGTGAACATCTTCACCACCAACCTCAAGTGGAGTGACTGGCTGCGAGGAGTCACTGTGAGGCACCTGCGGAGCTCAGCTGGGCAACTGGCGGCCTTTGGGCTTGCCGTCAACATCCACCGACTTCCCTTGAATTGTTCAGTGCTGAAGGCCGACTGGTACCATTTGTGAGTATCCAGGTGTTGTCTGATGATGTCCCGAGACTCCTGCAGAAAGTCTTACCGTGAAGCTGGCCACAAGGACCAGGGATTTAAAACATTCCGAACACATGCTGAACTTTCTTGACAAATGCCCGCCTCTGACGTGCCGGACAGAAGATTGAGTACTGCTTTGAACCGATCTTCTTCGATTCGGTGCTTGGCGTGAAGTCCAGGAGTCTGGTTGAAATCGGCCACTACGTCTTGAAGACGTTGCTCAGTTGTCATGTCTGCATGGTGACGGCCTTCAGCTTCTGCTTGCTCAAGGACTCTGGAAAACCGAAGTGCAAGTTGCAGTGCGCTTGGAGGTTGACGCTCACTGCCGCGGAAACTCAAGGAGATGTTTCGGAAGCTCCTGTCGGCCGCCCCCATGTTGAAGGCTACCTGAGGAAAGACAAGCTCAAAGTTTGTGAAATTGAAACTATTGCTTTGGGCCAAGGAGGGGTTTACCCAAAGCGTGCCCAAAACCCATAGATTGTATTTGAGGCTGGTTACATGAACCGGCACCATCCAGCAACGGTCGAGGACTTGGAACAGCGGACGCAGCTGCTCTTCAGCTTTCTCATCTGACAAATCGAGTTCTGAAGCCGCGACCAAAATGGTCATGATCGCGCTTGACCTGGTCCAACCTTTGACTTGGTCCATGCAGTGACATTCCATAGGCAAGGATTGGCCTGCAGGGACAGTGGCTATCCAAACTGTTCAATCAAAGGCTGTTAAACCTTTTGAAGCACAGTGGCTTTAACAAACCCAAGCCTGGTGGGAACTTCAAAGAGACATCGAGGGGCTCACGCCCCAACTCCACACCACCAAACAGCATGCTTTCAAAGGTAGTGCACCAATCATCAGTCACAGGCAAGCCGTCCTCTGGAGGAGTAAACCTCAGAAGGTCGAAGCAAAACATATCCGTAAGTCTGAAGTTTCGACCATCAGTAACACAGAAGTTTCTCCTCTAGGGAAGTTTCTAGTGACTGCGAATGGTTGTTGGAAACTTCATTGTGGTTTCTTTGTGGCGCACACACACATACACTTAGTGACTTATGGTAAGTTAACAGAGATTCAACAATGATATCCCTGGAAAAGGTTGGGGGTGTATGCAAAGTCAGGCTAATTGGTGGACTTTTTGGCCCGAAAGCAAGAAAGCAATCTTATGATCAGATTTGACCTGAAAGAATGTGGTTTCGATGAACATACTCGCCATTTTACAAAAGACTCAGCCCAAACAAAAGCTCATCACCGTCCCTGCCAACCTTAAATGATTCCAACATATACATGCATAATGTATATATATTTATATATGTATGTATATATATATATACATGTATGTATATATATATATATATTTATATGTATTTGTATGTATATATATATATACTTATTTACATAATGAGAGACATGCATCGAGGAGGATCTATCATAAGGAGGATTAAAATTATCTGGGATATGTCTTGATGTTTACACATGCATATTATCTCTGTACCTACATGTACATGCATGTATAGAAGTAAACATATAAGGATATATATACATGAGGAAGGTAACATATAGAGATAAAGGGGCTGAGGAAGACAAGGTGCTTCAAGCAAACGATCGGGACTTTGACCGTTTCATTGTCCATCGACGGGTCAACCACCTCAGAGCAAGGCAATGCATAGCCGAGCACATGTTAGCAGAACATGGGTGGGAAACCCTTTTCTTAGCAAACCAAAAGTTTTTTGTCAAAACTCCAGCTTAGAAACAACCGAGGTCGGAGTCTTGAACAGGTAAGGCATCTTGCGGATTTTGGTTGCATAGTCTTGGTACCATGCTTCTAACTGCTGACAGTGAAGCTTGTTGTGTTCATCGCTCTCACTAGCGAAAACTTCGGTCACCAAAGCTGCAGGGTGATGCCCAGGAAAAACATGCTCACCACGAAACGAAGCCACGTATTCCAACAGGTCCTGGTGTGAGATGGTGACCCTCTATTTGGAATTTTGTGTTTCAAAATGTTGCCTGCATAGGATGGAATGATTCAGAAGAGGGTTGAACTCAAACATGATGGAAAACAAAGATTTAAAACATTGATTTAGACTCTAGAAATATGATTTTCAATATGTTCCTTCACTATCTGAAGGTCACCAGACATCTTGGCCATCTGTTTCTCGTACTGATTGCACATGCGCTTGGCAGGGCGCTCAGTGTCATCTTCATCTTTCTTACACAACTTTGCCCGTTCCTCAGCCTTTGCTCTGAACGGGTTGGCCGTCATGGTGACAGCAAAAAACCTAGACTTGATACCTGAAAATCCCTGCGAATGACAGGTTTGACATCCTATAAGTCCATCGATTTTATGTTGAAGAACTCATGTTGGTTTCAGTGCACTGGTCAACAACCAGTCCACTGATCCCTTATTACTGAATTTTTGAGGTTCAATTTTTTGGTGGTAAACCAAAAAAAAATTGAAGCTCGAAATTTCTAACCATTAGGATCAGTGCACTCGTCGCCGACCAGTGCATCGACTTTTTTGTTGGGTTTGGTTTTAAGATCAGTGCACTCAGAAGATGTGCAACTCATTCGTTCAGTTTGATCCAAGTTCACCAAAGTCAGCTGACTCGTTGGCAACTAGTCCACCGAAACTGTTCGACTAACAACCCCTGGTGCACCGACATGTGCCGTGTTCCAAGTAGGGGTGCACCGATTCTCTCTACATCCCCACCCTAGTGCACCGATTCTCCCCGCACACCAATCCCGAGTGCACCGATTTGCTGGGACCTGGGCTGGTGTGTTAACACGATGCCTTAGGCAAACATGTTAATGCTATTGACGCCGGTTGCCAGTAAAAATTGCCCTTAAAGGGATAGCTGGCGCCAGTGCATTCAGCACTGACTGGTGAAGAACATACCTCGGAGCCCCCATGCCTTGAGGCTGCAAAAGCTGGGTGTGAAACGGCAAGGTCTGGAGCTCAGAATCGGTCCAAAAACCATTGACTGCCAACCGACGCAGGTAGGCAAGAGCTCTGTCATACTGGTGGCCGTAGTAGAACTGAACCGCATCAGCCAACTTTGTAAGTGATGATGCCAATTGTGCGCTGTGGTTGTTGGGCCACCTCATGAACATGTGGAGTATGGGTCCCAATGGAGATTGGAAAATCTTTTGAATTTGAAACCGGATTGGACAAAAAGAGAAACAGTCAAAACCTGTCCTATGTCCTGGTTAAGATCATATGATTTCATATCAAACATCCAGAAGTTACCGGTGAAGCAATGTTTTTTGGTATGGTCCAAAAACATTTCACTCAGAAGATACAAGTATGGTAAAAGAATACCTGTGAAAGACAGCTGAGTTTTCAAAACTCTTTGTGCTAGACAATTGAAAAATCATTGTGTCATGTTGGGCTAAGTTACTTCCCTGTTGGGACCATGTCTAGGATGTCAGCACGGTGTTTTGTCAGGACCAGCATTGGAGGTTGCGACAACTCTTTATCGCAAATGTGTTTTTTGATCAATGGGATAACATCATGCGGGCTTGCCATCCCACGGAAGCTCCCGTGGTTCACCACATTGGCCAAGGCTTCTGGAAGATCTCAGGGCTAGGAACCCCAGCAGAGCGGTGTATTAGGAAGCCCAGTGGTGCATTGGGAACCCCACACAGTAAAACAAAATTACTTTACTTCGTGTGATCCCCACCATGACATTTATACATTTTCTTACTGGCAAATCTTCTGGCATTCTATCTGACATATCTTTTGGCATTCTATCTGGCATATCTTCTGGCATATGTTCTGGCATATCTTCTGGCATTCTATCTGGCAAATCTTCTGGCATATCTTCTGGCATTCTATCTGACATTGCATCTGGCATATTTTCTGGCATTCTATCTGGCATATCTTCTGGCATATATTATGACATATCTTCTGGCATTCTATCTGGCATTCTATCTAGCATATCTTCCGGCATATGTTCTGGCATATCTTCTGGCATTCTATCTGGTATATCTTCTGGCATTCTATCTGGCATATCTTCTGGCATATTATCTGGCAAATCTTCTGGCATTCTATCTTTTAACTTTCTTCTGCACATTCTTTGTCCCATATCTTCCTACATGAGGTCCGGCAGGGAACACTTGGCGTGGATACTCGCGGTTGAGGTCCGGCAGGGAACACTGGGCGTGGATGGTCGTGGTTGAAGTCCGGCAGGGAACACTGGGCGTGGATGGTCGTGGTTGAGGTCCGGCAGGGAACACTGGGCGGGGATGGTCGTGGTTGAGGTCCGGCAGGGAACACTGGGCGTGGATGGTCGTGGTTGAGGTCCGACAGAGAACACTGTGCGTCGAGGGTCGCGGTTGAGCAGGAGGAGGAGGAGAGGAGAGGAGGAGAGGAGAGGAGGAGAGGAGAGGAGGAGAGGAGCAGGCAACTGACATAAAATCTAACAACCCTCACCTGGCAGGTGGGGAAAAATGTGTACTTCAAAAACATTGTTGAAAGAATTTGTTTTTGATTTGTTTGGATTGGTTTGACCCTAGCGCCTCGGCGTTGCATGCAAAGAAACAAATGGTTCCCAGATTCATCTTTCAACAAACCACCTTCCAATTTCACTCCAGCTTCTGGCAGATGTGACCGCCAGCTTCTTGTAACATTCAACTTTTTGACCGAGACCCGAGTGCGAGCACCAATCCAATCTTTGATTGTAGGCTTGCTAAGTTCAGATGATATTGTAGAAATAACATCTTCAGGATCAAGTAAACCACTTTCGTTTGCAACTCGTCTCGAGATGATTCCCCACAATTGATCTTAGCTTGGGATGGTGACCACAAACATATCAAAAAAAAAGATATTGGAAAATAACCCAAACATGACATCATGAAGGTTCTTCCCAAAAACTCGTGATTTTTTGGGGGCATCAAATTCATTTTCAACAAAGTGACTAATTTCCTTACCAAAAGGCCGACCCGGCAATGGGTATGAGACTTTCGGAGGTGACATAGGCATGCTGTTCTGAAGAAGTTCTTCGCAACCAATAAGTGAAGGTATGTCAACATGTGCTGGTTTTTTGCCTCTCGAACTGTATTGTCTGCCTCAGCTAGTCAAACTAATCCCTGCATCCAAATGGGTTAAACATTTGATGTTGGAATCAACCTTACCATACACCTAGTAATATATGTTCAAAAACAACATAGATTATGATGATGTTTGTTCTTCTTGGGTGGTATGGTACCATGCATGCAAATGATATGTCTACTGCGTCTATTCATATGAGATTGGATTGGTATCTGTTAATGATCCCTTTCTGGCAAAAACAAATCTATTTTTAGGATGTTTTGATATCTGAGGTCCTTATGTTTGGAAATGTGACTCATTGATCCCAGAAATGGTGTTCAGTAAAGGATTCTCATTTTCCTTCATCACCCTTATCCATGCATGCTAACATAGAATCCAAGCAGCGTTGACAATCAACGCAGTGGGTCGAGGTCTGTTCTCCTGGTCGCAAATCTTCATTACCTAAGCGCAGTGGGTCGAGGTCTGTTCTCCCGGTTTGTGGGGTGGCATGGAACAGAAGTATACAGAAAAGAAACATCTCAAATGCAAAAATGGGTACATTGATTCTTCCAAGAATCATCTTCAATAGTTTGAGAGATCATTTCAATGATGGCACTGCTGTCGTGACGGCTAATTTCATCCATCACTGAGATGTTGACCACATACCCATAGGTCCAAACCCCATGGATCTTTAGCCGAGGCCTCTGATGCTTCGACCTGGGATCAGTGAGGCAATGGCTGGGCTGACGAACTTGTTGGGATCGGAATTGCCGAGGCCATACCAAAACAACTGGAACCCATATCAAATAAAAATGTATCAAGTTAAAAAGGGCTGAATCCATTTCAACTTGATTCAGAAACCACATGAAAGAGTCATCAACAATCCCAGGATCAATCCGGCATTGGTGCGAAGCTGGGGGTCGCGTGGTAGTTGGAACTTTGCTTGGTCTAAACCATCTGTGCAAAGCATGAGAATTTGGGCTTGTGGGTCACACCCTTCGGACTGTAGTGTCCAAATGACAGTTCTATCACAATACTGATCGTGAAGGTGAGATCGGTACCCTTGGAGACAGCCAAGTTTTTGCTCAAAACTGAGTGATCTATCTTGGAGTTGGGCTTTGAAAGCACAACATACTTCACAAGTAGTGAACAATGAGCGAGCCCGGAATCGAAGGATGTCTCGCCAACGTTGTTTGTACACATGGTGAAATGTTGTGTACTTCATAGTGGTTCTCAAAATGTAGTGGTTAAAACTTAAAACAAACCCTGGTTCCCGAATACAAGACTGAATTATGACTAAACAAGATGAGGTACGAGACAGGTTTTCCCCCAAGCATATCCTGCGTTGCCTTGTACTCCTCGTAGAGTTCCATAACATTCCCAGGGGGTAAGTACTTTCTGACAAGGACCTGGTTTGGTACGAATGAACTCTTTGCTGCTGTGGTTGACATCCATTCACGCATCTCTTCAACGTTTTCTGTATCAGATGCTATTTCTTCAGAACCAGAATCCCCACCATCACTGTCCAAATCCTGCTTCCTCCGCCTTGAAGCTCGGCCACGTCTTATGAACCTGGCCAGCGACCAGATTTGGATGAGATGTATGTTACTGGGAACCCACTAGGTAATCCATGCAAACCCAAACGTGCACAAACAATAAATCAGTTCATCTAAGTTGTTGATTGTGAAATGGATTTGTAGACTGTTGTGTACTACATCCTTCTTAGTCAGTGACTTACATTGAGAAGTCAAAACATTGATTGAATCAATCCTAAGCAACTCATCAGGCATTGTTTCTGCCACGGAGTCATAAGCCATGCGAAGGAAACCATCCACACTCCAGGTTCCGGGTCTACTCATGTAGGGACGTGTTCCATGCCGCAGGTCTGGGGCACTGGCCATCCCCTTGCGCAGCCGGTGAGTGCCGACGCCCAGTAATGCAGAAAGGCACTTGAAGCCAACTAACTTGTCAAGAAGCATAAACTGTTTGTTGCTGCTGTCACTGGAAGTTGCTAAGCACATCTGAACCTCAGAGTTGGGGTCGACTATGGATGTTTTCATATACACAGAAGCCAAAGGGAACCTCAACTGAAACCAAACAAAACTTATGAAAATTGACCCAGGGACCATGGAATCTTGATCGGATTTCCTCATATCCCAAAATTTTCGAAGAAAGCCTCCAAACTCCTTCGAGCCTTGAAACTGCTTGTAGCATGCCTGGTTGGCACCTTGGTTGGCGCCGACTTGGAGCAGGTCATGGCTAGGACTTGAAATTATGGGCCCTTGAAATTATGGGCCCTTGAATCATGGTTGATAATTCTTGCAAAATTTCCAACATCATATCATCAAAAGCCATGATGAAGTTGAGAAAACAAGGAACACTGACATGAATCTGCCTGAAATAGACGTTGTATCCGACCAGGGTCCACCCCATTCTGTTTGAATTGCCCTGCATGATTTTTCCGAAGATAGCTAGCGTTTGCAGCACGACCCATGTTGTTGTACTTTCGTTTCTTTTTTGATACCTGATCATCATCCATGTTTTCCTTCCAGAAAGATACTTTTTTCATATCCATCAGAGAATGCCATCCAATAGAAAAGACCGATTTCGAAGTACCCTGGTACACAGTTTCGGACTCACCACTGCTGCCTTCAGATTCACCACTTCGAGTGGTTTGCTCATCATTCTCCTCTGGCTCACTGCCCCAGAGGACAGGGTGTGTGGGTGGCTGCCTGGATGAAGCTGAGCTGCTTGGACGGGTTGAACCACAAGGGCCCTGCTTAGCAGACCCTTCAGAAGGTTCAGCCCCAAATGGACCTGTGATGCCAGAGTTTGTAGGCCTCACTGGATCATGGCTCCTAAGACTCAAGAACGGTTTTTTACATGATTGTTTTTCTTCTCTTTCATCAGCGAATGGAGGCATTACTGGCTTGAACCACAGTCAATCCATGAAAAAGATGTTTCATTTGGAATGGGAATTTTGTCATAAACAGTGATGTCAAACTGTTGCTTTACCAGCTGCTGAATGACAGCATGAACTTGGTTGAATCGAATGTTTTTCTCACGAAATCTGATGTCAATCTAGTGCACGCCAGACCAGTGCCAGCTGAATTAGAAATTATGTTACATCTCAAAAAACATCACATGAGTTTGCTCTGATCTACTGCATGCGGTCGGCCACGCACAAACCAGTCATCAGCAAAACAAATCCAGCACAGGGCAAGCTCATGCCATTGCCAGAGATCGATCGAAGTGCCGACTCACTGAGGTAGTCAACGTTCACAGTATCCTCAAAGCAAACTTGTTGAACAAACAGCAACTAGCTGGATATCGCTGTAAAATATATCACTCTGTGAAACATGTGTGCAATCATCATTGATGTTTTGTTTTGCGAACCATGGTTCGATGCGTGCAGCAGATGCCCCCTTGGTCCAGCACGGAAAGCCCAAGACATGTAGCTGCTCTTTCCCAAGCATCAAGCGCCCCGCCTTCTCTGACCTGAGATGTTGATTTCAGTTGGATGACGGGTACCCCAAAGATGTAAATCTAGAAATGGTCCATAAACTAAGTATACAGCTGTTTATATATATATGTACACAAATACGTATACAGGTACATAGAGTTCAAGGTTGAAAATAGGAAATAAAAATAGATCAACCCATAAACAAAAATAGACTGTTGGTTCATTTACTTTGTGTTTATTGACTGCGCTCACTCATTGCAGGGGGCTTCCCAAATCAGTTTGTAATTCAACTTCATCAACCCAAATGTTCATCTGTGAAGATTTCAGGTCACCAAAAGTCACCTCAATAAGAGCCACCTGGGAAAAGACATATATAAATATACGTTTTAAATCCTAAAAGGGTGATTGCTATTTTTGGGATCGTGAGCCAAAATAACCATCTGATGGTAAACAAATACATATTCATCACCGAACCCGCCAAACCCAAATGATTCACATATAAATATATAAACTAAAAAATGAAGCTCCATGTAAATGCTACAAACTGGTATATCTATAAACATATCATATGTCTAAAAGCTAGGATGTGCAAAGTGCAAAGAATCTAAAATATATCATGGTCATGAGCTGATGATGACGCGTAACCACAGTTGGGCGCTTGTTGTCAAGCATGGCATGCACTTGTCTACAGTCTCCACTCGGCATCGCTTGTTGGGATTGGCGCTCAAATCATAGATGGCCTTGTCAGGACGCGCCTCGCGGAACATCTGCAGATGAGCTGCTTGAGACCTAAAGTCCAGGCATTGGGGCACAAAGGGTGTATCTAGGACAACTTTGACTTTGATGACTTGGATGACTTTGATGACTTTGGCTAGGTTTCAAACTTTGTAAGTTCATGTTCTCGCACTGGATATCCTTCCAAATCAGTGGGTGAAGCACACAAGTAGGTGTTGAAGTCCAGCTCTAACTTGGCCTCAATTGGGGCCAACATCATGTTGGCCAATTCCCCCAAACTGTAGCGAGATGTCCATGTCTTTGATTGCATGTTGTACAGGATGCGCCACACTCGCAAACGTCTGTTGGGGTGCCCAAACTGCCGCGGGCACATCCTCGGCAATGATGGGCGGTACAAGACTTTGGTTGATTCACTGGGTCTTAGGAGCTGGCAAAACTTTCTGTTGAGCATGGGTATGAAGGTGCTGGTCCAGGTACTCCTCAAGACTAGTTAGTTCAGGATCAGTGGTGATGCTATTGAAATCAAAGCTTGCTGCAAAGACATTGGGTAAACATCTAGTTTGATTTGGGTATCTGAATTGGTTTGATGTACATACCTCGCCTCCTCATACTCCGGCACATTCTCGTGGATGCTGATGGATGTCACCTGTTGGAATTTCGCAGCGACATCATGAGCATGTTTGACCTCGACGTTCTTGGTCTTGAAGCCTTCCTTCAAACCGTACCTGTAACAGCAATGGTTTAACCAAACCATGGGATGTGAAATCTCAAGAGCATTGAATGCGCACTTCGAAAACAAAATGCAAGGCGCCCCAATGATCCCCAAGGTGTTCTGGTCGAGGTTCAAAGAGCACCTGACACAGTTTTGAATTGCTAGATGTGTATATAGGTTTCTTTGTTTTGCTACACTTATTTTCTGGTTTTTCATGTTACTCCAGGGTGTAGTTGTTCAGAAATCAAGGCACTGCTGCTTGTGCTGCGCACAGTGGCATTCCTCTCGCAACTTCAACTGAGATGGGTTCCACTTGTCTCCCTTGGGTGGATTGGCAACACAATCCAAAATGTTTGGAAAGATACAGGAGTCAGGGAAGCCATCTTGGTGCATCTTGATGCATGACCAGCTCTTCTCTACCTGAGCCACCATGACATCATGATCATCACAACAAAATCGGAAACCAATTTCAAGAAGCTAACAAATGAGAAAATTAAGTTCATTCCAAATCCTTTTTGAAGCTTTGAAACTGCACTTATCATATCGGAAAACTGTCGCCACTGAGTGACATTGAAGGAAAACGATAGACATGGCTGAACTCCCCACAGCTCCAAGGCTGCAGATTCAATCATCTGCCACGAACGCCGGGCGCACAGAGCTCCACCAAACAGGTCATAGGCCCGAAGGTTGTGGGTACCTGGCAGCGGAGATGAGATGAGAGTTGAGAATTGGGAACCAGGATAGAGAAATACTGAATATTGATATCTACAAATATCCACAAGATTCACAAGATATATCCACATGAACCTGTCTACATACATGCCTACCTCCGCATTTCCATATGTTGACTTTATAAATATAGTATATACAGCATAAAGGCTGCATGCATGTGTAGACAGTCGTAACTAAATAGATAGCTATATTTTGAATTTTGCAAATTTCACCAATCACAGCGCACGAAGCTTCTCTTTCACAAATTCTTCACCGAAGACAACTGCAGAGCGCTGTAGCAGGGTGAACGCCCAGAGCCTCAACCAATGAAAGCACATATATAATATGTGTTTGGGGGAGATGGATAAGTAGCCTAGGAACGAGAGCTGTTCAGTGTTCTTAGGCAACGGATAGGAGCCCAGTTCTGCAGTCCTAAGACCACATGCTGTCCTTCCAAAAGCCATGCCCTGAAAATTAGAAACATGTTGCAACATCTTTGCCTTGGAGATTCCAACATGTTGCAACTGAGGATCAAGGCCAACTCTTCAGGCTTTGGGACTGCTGGTGAAGGCCCGGCACAGCCCGCTGCGGGTTTTTTCATCACCCCGGCAGGTTTTTTCAGCGTATGTTTCAACGTTTTTTTGGGAGCAGCTGCCATTTTGGGGGCAGCTGTCCCCTTTCCACTTCGTTTGGAGCCAGGTTTGGCATTGGGTTTGCGGTTCATCAAAGAAGCCAAATCCATGGCTGAGAAAACTACTTTCCTCTGAAAAAAAAAATCTGCGAGATGCCATCATGTTTTCTCGGTTACTCCCACTGTAGATTGATTAAACTGACTTCTCCCAGTTGTAAAATGAACTTCGCTGAAACATGTTGATGTACGAAAAGCTGAATGGTTCAGTCTGAGTGTGAAACACGGCCATTCTCTGCAAGGCCTGCGTGGCCAACAGCTGAGAGCGGATCTTTGTTCAATCTTGGTGTGACAGGGGGAGAGAGAAAGGAGTCATCAAGACATCAATGGTTTACACACAATTACAAGTCTCATCTATCATGTTTTAGCTGTTAAAGAAGTTGCTGAAGCACACCAAGCCTTCACACCACTGCGTGACCATCGATGCGTAGGGGTGGCAATCCTGCCAATGAGTTGTCCAAATATGACAAGTGAGCGTATTGAAATGCACAAACCCTGAATAAAAAAACAAATTGTTGATGGTCCTTCCCATGTAGAAATTGAAATCGCAAAGGCACCTGAGGGCACAGATGAACTATGATCATCTTGTTTTACAACTCTGTTTTTTCACAGTGAAAACTCGGTGTTTCTGACTATTGATGTTTTTGAAAAAACCTGGCGATTCTGAAACTTTGATTGTTCTGACACTTGGTTCTCCAAAGCGGACACTTTGATTCTGACAACTTTTCCAAGTGTAAACTCAGTGATTCTGATATTCTGTCATCATTGTTTGAAACTCAGTGATTCTGACATTCACCCTCGCGCCATTCACGTTTTTCTGTGCTGGTTTTCCTGAGCTGCCAACCCAGAAAAAGAGAGAAAACCTGTGGATGTTTGTCGCCTGACCCCAAACCCCCAGAAACCTGAAGCTGTGGGCCGTGGCTGTGGGAAGTGGGCTGTCCAATACCCACCACACAATTGTTCAAATCAAAGTTCAAAACAAATCATTAGCAACAAGAAGTAAAAAACATGTGTATATGCATGTATGCAAGGTGTATGCATGTTAAGCATGTATATATCATTAATATTTAAGATGCATATATCTCTTATATATCTAATATATATATATATACCTTATGGGTGACCATGCTTGTTTTTTTTTCTCGCTGCGCTTGAATGCCAAAAGCAAGTTCATTTTTTTACAGCAATGGTTCTTGCACTGGGCTTGTCAGCTGGTGCATAGTAGTTGCACTGGTGTACACATGGCTGCAAGCCATGTATTTAGCAATGTACAGCTTTGTGCAGATGCTATACAACATGGGAGGGCAGGGTGGGAGCCAAGTGCTACCAATTTGGGGCCAGATGCCACCAATATAACTTTGCTGCTGATGCCGGTACAATAGCTTCGAAAAAAGCAGCTCCCGGCAGCAAAACACCATGGCTCCGAAGGACGAGCAAGTTCCAGAACCACGCCAAAAAACCTCCCAAACGTGTCGTCTGAAATGCTAGAAAAAATGTGCTAGAAAAACAGCAAAAAAAGCATAGAAACAGCATAGAAAAACAGCATTTGTCGATTGTCGAGAGATTCTGTCGCCTACGGCTGCTCGCACGACTGGTGGCGGCGGCTGCTGCTGCTGCTGATGCCAGTAAACCAGCTTCGAAAAAAGCAGCTCCCGGCAGCAAAACACCATGGCTCTGAAGGACGAGCAAGGTCCAGAACCACGCCAAAAAACTCCCTAACGTGTCGTCTGAAATCCTAGAAAAACAGCACATTGTCGAGAGATTGTCAAGAGATTCTGTTGCCTGCGGCTGCTCGCAGGACTGGTGGCGACGGTTGCTGCTGCTGATGCCGGTAAAACAGCTTCGAAAAAAGCAGCCCCCGGCAGCAAAACACCATAGCTCTGAAGGACGAGCAAGGTCGAAAGATTCTGTTACCTGCGGCTGCTCGCAGAACTGGTGGCGGCGGCTGCTGCTGCTGATGCCGGTAAAACAGCTTCGAAAAAAGCAGCTCCCGGCAGCAAAACACCATGGCTCGGAAGGACGAGCAAGGTCCAAAACCACGCGAAAAAACTCCCTAACGTGTCGTCTGGAAATCTAGAAAAATCTAGAAAAACAGCATTTGTCGAGAGATTCTGTTGCCTGCGGCTGCTGCTGCTGATGCCGGTAAAACAGCTTCGAAAAAAGCAGCCCCCGGCAGCAAAACACCATGGCTCTGAAGGACGAGCAAGGTCGAAAGATTCTGTTGCCTGCGTTGCCTGCGGCTGCTCGCAGAACTGGTGGCGGCGGCTGCTGCTGCTGATGCCGGTAAAACAGCTTCGAAAAAAGCAGCTCCCGGCAGCAAAACACCATGGCTCGGAAGGACGAGCAAGGTCCAAAACCACGCGAAAAAACTCCCTAACGTGTCGTCTGGAAATCTAGAAAAACAGCATTTGTCGACAGGTTCTGTTGCCTGCGGCTGCTCGCAGAACTGGTGGCGGCGGCTGCTGCTGCTGATGCCGGTAAAACAGCTTCGAAAAAAGCAGCTCCCGGCAGCAAAACACCATGGCTCTGAAGGACGAGCAAGGTCCAGAACCACGCCAAAAAACTCCCTAACGTGTCGTCTGAAATCCTAGAAAAACAGCACATTGTCGAGAGATTGTCAAGAGATTCTGTTGCCTGCGGCTGCTCGCAGGACTGGTGGCGACGGTTGCTGCTGCTGATGCCGGTAAAACAGCTTCGAAAAAAGCAGCCCCCGGCAGCAAAACACCATAGCTCTGAAGGACGAGCAAGGTCGAAAGATTCTGTTACCTGCGGCTGCTCGCAGAACTGGTGGCGGCGGCTGCTGCTGCTGATGCCGGTAAAACAGCTTCGAAAAAAGCAGCTCCCGGCAGCAAAACACCATGGCTCGGAAGGACGAGCAAGGTCCAAAACCACGCGAAAAAACTCCCTAACGTGTCGTCTGGAAATCTAGAAAAATCTAGAAAAACAGCATTTGTCGAGAGATTCTGTTGCCTGCGGCTGCTGCTGCTGATGCCGGTAAAACAGCTTCGAAAAAAGCAGCCCCCGGCAGCAAAACACCATGGCTCTGAAGGACGAGCAAGGTCGAAAGATTCTGTTGCCTGCGGCTGCTCGCAGAACTGGTGGCGGCGGCTGCTGCTGCTGATGCCGGTAAAACAGCTTCGAAAAAAGCAGCTCCCGGCAGCAAAACACCATGGCTCGGAAGGACGAGCAAGGTCCAAAACCACGCGAAAAAACTCCCTAACGTGTCGTCTGGAAATCTAGAAAAACAGCATTTGTCGACAGATTCTGTTGCCTGCGGCTGCTCGCAGAACTGGTGGCGGCGGCTGCTGCTGCTGATGCCAGTAAAACAGCTTCGAAAAAAGCAGCTCCCGGCAGCAAAACACCATGGCTTGGAAGGACGAGCAAGGTCCAAAACCACGCGAAAAAACTCCCTAACGTGTCGTCTGGAAATCTAGAAAAATCTTGAAAAACAGCATTTGTCGACAGATTCTGTTGCCTGCGGCTGCTCGCAGAACTGGTGGCGGCGGCTGCTGCTGCTGATGTCGTTTGAAATCCTGGAAAAACAGCTTTTTTCGAGAGAGTCTGTCGCCTGCAGCTGCTCGCAGGTGGCGGCTGCTGCTGCTGATGCCGGTACAATAGCTTCGAAAAAAGCAGCTCCCGGCAGCAAAACACCATGGCTCCGAAGGACGAGCAAGTTCCAGAACCACGCCAAAAAACCTCCCAAACGTGTCGTCTGAAATGCTAGAAAAAATGTGCTAGAAAAACAGCAAAAAAACAGCATAGAAACAGCATAGAAAAACAGCATTTGTCGATTGTCGAGAGATTCTGTCGCCTACGGCTGCTCGCACGACTGGTGGCGGCGGCTGCTGCTGCTGATGCCAGTAAACCAGCTTCGAAAAAAGCAGCTCCCGGCAGCAAAACACCATGGCTCTGAAGGACGAGCAAGGTCCAGAACCACGCCAAAAAACTCCCTAACGTGTCGTCTGGAAATCTAGAAAAACAGCATTTGTCGACAGATTCTGTTGCCTGCGGCTGCTCGCAGAACTGGTGGCGGCGGCTGCTGCTGCTGATGCCGGTAAAACAGCTTCGAAAAAAGCAGCTCCCGGCAGCAAAACACCATGGCTCTGAAGGACGAGCAAGGTCCAGAACCACGCCAAAAAACTCCCTAACGTGTCGTCTGAAATCCTAGAAAAACAGCACATTGTCGAGAGATTGTCAAGAGATTCTGTTGCCTGCGGCTGCTCGCAGGACTGGTGGCGACGGTTGCTGCTGCTGATGCCGGTAAAACAGCTTCGAAAAAAGCAGCCCCCGGCAGCAAAACACCATAGCTCTGAAGGACGAGCAAGGTCGAAAGATTCTGTTACCTGCGGCTGCTCGCAGAACTGGTGGCGGCGGCTGCTGCTGCTGATGCCGGTAAAACAGCTTCGAAAAAAGCAGCTCCCGGCAGCAAAACACCATGGCTCGGAAGGACGAGCAAGGTCCAAAACCACGCGAAAAAACTCCCTAACGTGTCGTCTGGAAATCTAGAAAAATCTAGAAAAACAGCATTTGTCGAGAGATTCTGTTGCCTGCGGCTGCTGCTGCTGATGCCGGTAAAACAGCTTCGAAAAAAGCAGCCCCCGGCAGCAAAACACCATGGCTCTGAAGGACGAGCAAGGTCGAAAGATTCTGTTGCCTGCGTTGCCTGCGGCTGCTCGCAGAACTGGTGGCGGCGGCTGCTGCTGCTGATGCCGGTAAAACAGCTTCGAAAAAAGCAGCTCCCGGCAGCAAAACACCATGGCTCGGAAGGACGAGCAAGGTCCAAAACCACGCGAAAAAACTCCCTAACGTGTCGTCTGGAAATCTAGAAAAACAGCATTTGTCGACAGATTCTGTTGCCTGCGGCTGCTCGCAGAACTGGTGGCGGCGGCTGCTGCTGCTGATGCCGGTAAAACAGCTTCGAAAAAAGCAGCTCCCGGCAGCAAAACACCATGGCTCTGAAGGACGAGCAAGGTCCAGAACCACGCCAAAAAACTCCCTAACGTGTCGTCTGAAATCCTAGAAAAACAGCACATTGTCGAGAGATTGTCAAGAGATTCTGTTGCCTGCGGCTGCTCGCAGGACTGGTGGCGACGGTTGCTGCTGCTGATGCCGGTAAAACAGCTTCGAAAAAAGCAGCCCCCGGCAGCAAAACACCATAGCTCTGAAGGACGAGCAAGGTCGAAAGATTCTGTTACCTGCGGCTGCTCGCAGAACTGGTGGCGGCGGCTGCTGCTGCTGATGCCGGTAAAACAGCTTCGAAAAAAGCAGCTCCCGGCAGCAAAACACCATGGCTCGGAAGGACGAGCAAGGTCCAAAACCACGCGAAAAAACTCCCTAACGTGTCGTCTGGAAATCTAGAAAAATCTAGAAAAACAGCATTTGTCGAGAGATTCTGTTGCCTGCGGCTGCTGCTGCTGATGCCGGTAAAACAGCTTCGAAAAAAGCAGCCCCCGGCAGCAAAACACCATGGCTCTGAAGGACGAGCAAGGTCGAAAGATTCTGTTGCCTGCGTTGCCTGCGGCTGCTCGCAGAACTGGTGGCGGCGGCTGCTGCTGCTGATGCCGGTAAAACAGCTTCGAAAAAAGCAGCTCCCGGCAGCAAAACACCATGGCTCGGAAGGACGAGCAAGGTCCAAAACCACGCGAAAAAACTCCCTAATGTGTCGTCTGGAAATCTAGAAAAACAGCATTTGTCGACAGATTCTGTTGCCTGCGGCTGCTCGCAGAACTGGTGGCGGCGGCTGCTGCTGCTGATGCCGGTAAAACAGCTTCGAAAAAAGCAGCTCCCGGCAGCAAAACACCATGGCTCGGAAGGACGAGCAAGGTCCAAAACCACGCGAAAAAACTCCCTAACGTGTCGTCTGGAAATCTAGAAAAACAGCATTTGTCGACAGATTCTGTTGCCTGCGGCTGCTCGCAGAACTGGTGGCGGCGGCTGCTGCTGCTGATGCCGGTAAAACAGCTTCGAAAAAAGCAGCTCCCGGCAGCAAAACACCATCGCTCTGAAGGACGAGCAAGGTCCAGAACCACGCCAAAAAACTCCCTAACGTGTCGTCTGAAATCCTAGTCGCGGCACCACTTTTCTAGCTTTATTTCCCGGCGGCCCTCTAGAAAGGAGGATGGAACGCAGACATGCAACACATGCCACGCTGCGAAGGTGCAGCGTGCAGTCCGCAAGCGCGCAGCTGCTTCCAGTGCAGCTCGCCTCGAACCTCTCCGGAAAAGATTGCGCCACAGGCAAATTATCCAGGAGACATGGGAAGCAATTGCTCGGAAACGTAGTCGCACCACGATTCCTGTTGAAAAATGCGTTGAAAATACAGCAGGGCCCACTATCTCGCAGAGAAAGCCGGTCTATGAATATATATGTCCTCATTGTGAGACACAGGTCCGTAGTACTGTCACTGATGGACAAGTTGATGCGAAACAACAGCATTGTGGTGTCCGCTTCCGTGTTCGCGGTGGCACAGTGATTCAGAGCTTTTTCACACATCAGTGTCCAGCATGTTTAACAGAAGTGCAAAGCACGAAACGCTTTGGCCGCATACGGGTAGCGCACAAAAAACGAAACGGGAAAAGATGTGGAACAAAATGTTGGCAAGTAGTATGCTCCGGTACCAAAGACACGACTTGATCTAAGAAAATTGCAGCCTAACCCTGAAGCTTATGGACTATCGAGAGCACAGCAGAGGTGGCACATGGTTGTTGTTGTCGCTCCCCCTTGCATCGGCCGGGGTCAGCGAATTATTATTATTCTTTCCTGGCAGCTGTGTCATAAACTCTTTTTCCCTTACGCACTCCCCCTTGCGTCTGCCGGGGTCGGCGGATACCACTGTTTGTACAATGAGACATAGAACCTCGAGGATGCGGCCTCGAACGAACAAATCAGAGCGGGAAGGGCAACCCAAGGAGCCCCACGTACCTCGAGGAGACTCCGGGAAGGACCCCCCACCGGTAAAACAAAAACCCCGGAGTCAATGAATCGACGTACGTGACCGGTGGGAGGGGGACCCAACAGGGTCCCCCGGCAAAGGGTCATTGTTGTTGTTGTTGTTGTTGTTGCTGTTGTTGTTGTTGTTGTTCTTGTTCTTGTTCTTGTTGTTGTTGTTGTTGTTGTTGTTCTTGTTGTTGTTGTTGTTGTCGTTGTTGTTGTTGTTGTGGTTGTTGTGCTGCTGCTGCTGCTGCTACTGCTGCTGCTGCTGCTGTTTCTATCTACTGTAGCTGCAGTAGTATAGTAGTAGTCGCAATGTCTTATTCCCTGGCGCGCTCCCCCTTGCGTCTGCCGGGGTCGGCGGATATATATATATATATACAATTATACCTGGAACGAGGGGTCACACGCAAAAAACATGTTAATTTTAAGCCATACTAATACCCAGGACCCAGTACTCAGTTCTTCCCAACATGTTTCCAAGGGATGCTACTGTATCCAATGATAGCCATGCAAATCCCTCGTCTTTTCCCACTGGTTGGTTGACAAATCGAAGATCCCCCTATTGAACCAGTTGCTACATGATACTATATATGATATGCCACACCGACCTCGCAACAGTTTTCCTAAAAGAGCATCCTTAGTTAAGACATGTTAAGACCCTAATTTCTGCTATCCGGTGGTGAAGGGAGGGAGCTAATTAGCTATGGGTATCCATATTCCCAATAAACATGAAGAGCCAAGGAGCCAATCCCAACCACAATAGAAAAGACATATCATGCCCAGTGATATGGAAAATTCACCATAGATCTAGGTTAGATTCCTAAGGAAACCCATGCTTATCCATATCGATCTGCGTCTTCATGGGCCTCAGGCGGCTTTGATGCGGACGAGGACAACAATGACTTCGTAATCTTCCGACAGGTTTCACAGCAGGGGTGGTGGCGTAGCTATGCATAGCTGGGAGACCGGGCAGCAAAGATATGGGGATTCTTCATCATTGAAGAGCCTGAACTTTGAAATGTAAACCAACAAATACTGGTTGGTGGTTTGGAACATTTTTTCATTGTCCCCAATAGTTGGGATGATGATCCAATCTGACTTTCATATTTTTCAAGGGGTAGGTCAACCACCAGCGAGACAAATATGAGGATCTTAATCACCAGAGATGGTGAAGTGGGACGACTCTTCAGATTGCTATATACCATACTGTAAATGAATCATCAGCTAAACAATGATGATTCTTTAATTTTTGACATCCCTAGACCTTTTGTGTAAATTTTAAGGAACCAGTTGAGCATCTTGATTGGATCAATCATAGCTCCCTTGTATTTTGTTTGAGTTTGGGTGACATCATAGATGCGCCGGCATGTCACCAACGTGGGTATTTTGCATGACTCAGGCGTCATGGATCCATGCCGCCATACCATCAAAGCACCTGTGAAATCATGGTGGATGGAGTGGCAATTAGTTTGTTTTAGTCACTGATAGTCCAAGTGATTGCCATTTATAGTCCAAGTTTGTTTTAGCCACTATCATGGTGTCACTAATTAGTGGCAATAATCACTTGGAGTGGCATTATGTTTTTCTTCTAATAATCCAAGTCATTTCCACATTCCACATCCTAGTACTAGTTCCCAAAAGTGTGCTATCACTGTTGCCACTTATTGTTTTTCATGTTTCATGCATAAAGGTCGTGAAAGATCCAACATATTTTCCAGGATGCCATAGATCATATTTTACAGGAGATACATCGGGTTACTGTGCATTTTACACAGGCTTTCTGTACCATAAGGTTATCTATGTGTCTATTTATCTGGTATAAGCGGACGTAAGCGGACCTGGTTCGGCTTACCAGGTCGAAAGCCTGCAGAGCTGCAAGGAGCGCGTGGCATTTCAGGTTGGTGAAAGATGACAAAAAAAGTAATTCAGCCAGATACCATATGCTTGTCAGTTACAGTATATCATATTACCATTTAAGTGGTGTATATTATTACCCAGTATAATCCCTGTATTATTATTACGTAACTTAAGCAACCTTCAATGGGTGTACTCGTCATAGAGACCCTGCAGCTATAGGTGGGCCGTATCGGGGTGTTGGGAGCAGCCCTGTGAAAAACTTGCCGTCTGTATGAGGTGAGACTTACAACTTGGTTAACTAGGGTTTATAGGAGTTTAACTATATTATACATTATTTAATTATACTTATTTGTATACTTGCAATAAACTTATATACAATTATGTTTATACTATATATATATATATACTATATAATTATAATACTATATACTTATAATGAGTTTATAAACCAACAAAGATAAACTGACAGGGCCTCCCCTTGTACCATGGCTTTCCCACAGAAACTGATCCCTTTTGGCCAGGAGAAATGCGAACACTCGGAAGAGACCACTGGCTGCGCGGGCATCAGCTCGGGCATCCAGAGGGGTGCCATACTGTGGATGGGCCTGCGAAATCCTGCACCAGTTGAAAACGGTGGTAAACATCCCACTATATAGAGTTTCAACCATCCCAGGTGGTGCCGGAGTTCTTCCATCGGTGAAATGGAGGAGATGAGCAGGAAACATTGGGGATCTACTTCAAGGATCATCGAAATTCGTAAAAAGAACTGATTGTTATCCCATCCAAAAATGGGTGAACTCACAATGATTATGAGCCACTTGGAATGATCCTCCACCCGATATATTCACTGGGTCCCGGGGACAACATCGGGATTTGGCGTTCGCAGCAAGGTGGGTTCGGCAGTTTGCCAAGACCACCTGACCAGATTTTCCCAGCAGGTTTTGGTGGACCTGCAAAAAAAAAGCACACGGATTTATTCAGAGCGAACGTTGAAGATTTCTGCTCCAAAGTAGGAGAAGGCATAATATGCACCGGCTAACGTTGCCATAGGAAAGTCCCTATGTCTATTTTCGGTAAATCTTCGAATGATCAACGGGCCAAGATCTAAACTGTCTCTTTCAAGCGCTAAAAAAGACACGAGTTTCATCTATGGTTCGCTACCCTAAATAAAGATGATGGGTCATGAATATTGCATTAATTAAGATTATTGAGCAATTTAACATGTTGAGTCCCCCCAAAAAAAATAACAGACAAGCACAACAGAATTGATCCGCAAGATGATGTAACCCACCCCAGGTTACAGCCATGAAGAGGAGGTCTGCCAGGCGCCAGAGAGCTGGTCGCTGGTGAACATAGACATAGCTGGTGAACTCTATGACATATGATCATCCCCAAAATACCAGACATATGATGGGAAAACATCCCATCTATACCATCCCAAAAATATGATATATCATGATATAGAATCTATGATATCATCCCAAAAATATAGCTATCATTATATCACCCATTTATCATCATCCCAAGAATACTCTATCATCCCAATAGCTAGATTATGCAGATATCAATTGCATGATCATCCCAGACATACTCGGATTATGGCTTTTGACCCACTGACAGAAATGTAAATTCCCAAGAAACTCTATTGATTAGACTACTAGATTGAAGAGTGAATATCCATGAATATCCACTATATATCTAACACATTAAGCCCATAATTTTGTATCCATATGCTATTAATGAAGTGTATTTTGTTTTAACAATGAACATATGGAAAAAACTATGAACCTTGTTTAGTACTAATATTGGGAAAAGGGCCTTACATATTATCTATCTATCATCATTATTATTAACTATAACTCTGACAAATAGTATGAATTATCCCAATTAGCTTTACTGGATGAACTATATTTAGTATTGATTGGCTATGACTATAAAGATATTCATGTGATTGCTTTGGTGTTGCCAACATGGTACCATATCCGCCAGCAGTCTGAACAAACCGTCAACGAGTCGATAACAATTGCAATTTAAGCTTATTAACTTGTAGAAGCAACGATAGTAATCACCCAAATGTAGCTGACTATACGACATTTTTTTTCGAATTCTCACATTTGCCGAAAGAGCGACAGCTGCGCAATTGTTACTGATTTCCGACGCTCAGACTACTACGTACGATCCTCAATTGTTCTGTCAAGCAAAAGTTGGGCATTACGCGTGCATATGCCTCAATTACATGAAGAAAAAAGTCCACCAGTCCACCACAGAATAAAATGATCCAGCAATATTATCACGATGATGTGATTGCATAGAGTAAGTGTATTGTACAACAATATATATATATATATATACCTAGGGCTTCTCACATGTTACTAATTTCTGCTTTTCCTGTCAGAATTGCTTTTCTGCGCCACTTATCTTCAATTCTGCTCTCGGACCTTTTTTGTCATGTTCGAATATTTTTGTCATCCACATCCATTGTTCGTTTTGAGCACTGTCCCATGGTGCAAGGACATCCAAATCCCTCACGATTTTAGGGTGGACATAAATGATGTCTCCACCAAACCTTTTCTTCAAGCAAACATTGAGCCACAGCAGCTCTGTGCTGAAACTAACGCTTGTTGATGGGCCTTCGTGGCAAAACAATTTTGGTGATAGCGCTTTTAACCAATACAAAGGCGTTTCTTCCCGAGACAAAAGCGTTTCTTCCCGATACAAAAGCGTTTTTACCCGTACCCCAGGTTTGGATACTTTTGGCTTTTGGTTGTTTTTTAAATGTCCGAATCACAGTCAAATGGTACGAAAGGTTGCAATTCGAGGGCCCACAACCCATCCAAACCATGTCAATCCACTTTGTTTCCAATTGATCAGCTGTGGCATCACTGTCACCTGCAACAGATTTGTTGGTTTCCTTTCATCCTGGCTATTCTTGATCATTTTGAGCAAGAACGTTTTTGGGAGGCAGCAACGTTTTTTCCAGCAACGACCAAAATAAATGCTGTTTCAGGCAAAAACCAAAAAAAGGAGCACCAGGAAGGCATAGGTATATATGGTATAAAATGATATACATATATTTATTATATATATTTATACAAGTTATAAGCATATTCTATGCTAAATGCCATGCTTGCAACGCTCCCCCCATCTTTTTTCCTTCCCGGCGTTCAGATCCATGTGGACCTGGTGCGCAGCAGCAAGCAGATGACTGGCTACATGTGTTTGCGCCATGAGGCGATGCAGTTTTCTGTGAGGCATAAAAAATACACTGGGTTTCATGACATGGGTATGGATCAATACCTATTAATACCATTTTTAGGGGAATGAACATCCATTTACCAGCTATTTTGATGTTCACCAGGGGTACAAGGTTTTGACACACTGCCACATTTTAACATACTTTAGTGGGAAATGATGCAATGACTTTCACAGGTTTTATGGGGCGCTAGGAATATTTTGTCAATATTTCGTATGTGAATGAGCAGTGGCTGCTAAACCGCTGTTGGTTGATGATTTGTTCCGAGAGTTTTAACCTACCCTTTATATATAGGGGATTATCATAATCCATGAACTAGCAATCCTTCTTAAGCAATGAGTAAACTGAAATAGCAGAGGGTTTTGAACGCAGCTCATGTGGAGTTTTAGGGGCAAAATATCGGAAGTCAACCATGGATGAAACGGGGGTACAAGACTTATAACTGAATGGGTCGTTGATTTCTTGTTTCAACAGCTTCAAGTGGAACTCGCACACCTGCAATAGATCGATCGATCGACCCACAATCACAAGGCACCATGTATGGAATATTTTGTTACTCTAACATTTACCTCCTAAGTGACCTAGTCATGTAGGTAAATATTCCAGATATGGAGCATTTGGGATATATTACTGTTTATTTAATCTAATCCTATTTTCTAATGTATGCTTTTCGGTGGATAGCTGTGAGTATGTGGACGTGTGCAAAAATTGGGTACCCCATTCTATTTAGTGGTTGAAAACCTCATTTCCTGTTACATGTGCCCTTTTTGAGTGGTAAATTCTGCATTTCTGAGCAAACCAAATGATTAAATTTAGATATTAGCCTGTTGTTGATGACTACATCTGGTTACATTACATATCTCTATCTATCCTCATGATGGCTGTAAACATCCCCATTTTGCCCGAATGACAAGGTTTAGACATTAAGTTCATCCCCATATACAACCAAATAAGTGTCATTCTATGTTTCACCTTTTAGATGTATAGATGTAGTCACTGTAGTCTTTACCCTTTGCTTCTTTAGATTATATAGGACCTGTTTCCAATATCAAAGTTTAGACCATTATCTCCAGTATCAAAGTTCGAAGATAAGTATCTCAAAATCAGTTTAGGTTTAGATACTATTACAGCTTCATTAACCACCTTCCCTGCCACGGTATTTTAGGGAATCCCAGTGAGTCTCACTACCGATCCAATATCGTAGCTATGATTCCTGATACCCATCCCCTTCCGAAAATACGTGGCCTCCAGGCCCCCACCACCACTCGGACCAGCATTACCAGCACTTCCGCTACCACAGTGACCTGGTCAATTAGGTTTTTTGATGTAGGAACCATTTTTGGATCCTTTGTGACCTGGAATGGTGAAATTCTGTGGAAATTCTTGGTTTCATTTTTTGGAGATTTTTTGGGGATGATTCCATGTAACAATCAGTTCCCTGCTATAGCACTACATTAACACCCCCTAGGGAAACTATTTGATCTTGAATCTGTGCGTTTGAGATACCTTATGACTGGGTTTATGAACAGGATTCAGCCATCTGAGTCATTGCGTCTTGTTCCTTCAATAGACTAAGATATGTATAAAGTATAAAGATAAGTCAGTGCACCGACATGTTGATGTCTTGCAAGATGATGCTCCACAGTTCTATTGGGCTGCCGATCCATATTTCCAACCGGTCGAAGCATTGGATAAGGTGTGTATTTATGTCGCCTGTTTTGGACAGCATCGAAATCTAAAGGACTTCATAAATGTGAACTTTGTTATTGTCAGTTCAAGTAAGACCCGAACAGCTTTGAATGTCAGAGTAGAAACACTGATTATCACAGATCATGTTCAAAGCCTGGTTTGCTGCGATTGCATTGGGGCTGTTGTTTTAAACATTTTGGGATTCTGACTAATCCCTCCCGCATATATAGTATTAACCCCCTAAACTTGGGGATGATTCCATGTAACAATCAGTTCCCTGCTATAGCACTACATTAACACCCCCTAGGGAAACTATTTGATCTTGAATCTGTGCGTTTGAGATACCTTATGACTGGGTTTATGAACAGGATTCAGCCATCTGAGTCATTGCGTCTTGTTCCTTCAATAGACTAAGATATGTATAAAGTATAAAGATAAGTCAGTGCACCGACATGTTGATGTCTTGCAAGATGATGCTCCACAGTTCTATTGGGCTGCCGATCCATATTTCCAACCGGTCGAAGCATTGGATAAGGTGTGTATTTATGTCGCCTGTTTTGGACAGCATCGAAATCTAAAGGACTTCATAAATGTGAACTTTGTTATTGTCAGTTCAAGTAAGACCCGAACAGCTTTGAATGTCAGAGTAGAAACACTGATTATCACAGATCATGTTCAAAGCCTGGTTTGCTGCGATTGCATTGGGGCTGTTGTTTTAAACATTTTGGGATTCTGACTAATCCCTCCCGCATATATAGTATTAACCCCCTAAACAAAGCCCGGGTTTAGCACTGGATCTATTCATTTAGAGGCTCCATATGGAGCACATCCGATTCCCTGCAGCTGGACCTCGAAGATCTTCTGGGAGCAAGTCAGCCGGTTAGCGCCGGTTAGTCATGCCACCAGTCACAAAAAGGCGAAGCTTCGAATATGTGATAATCTACAGGCAAACCGCTGGTGGCATGCTACAAAGTCGGGATTTGCCGAGTTCTATGGGCAGTACGCCTAAGGCTCGAGCTTTGGCCGGCTCGTCAAGAGCCGGTTGATGCCACTGTTCTCGAAGATGTGTGGCATACGCCATGGGAGCTCGCACAATCTCTCACACGTGGTGGGATCGTTACAAATCAAATTCGAGTTTTTTTCAATCCCATCAACATCAAATCCTTACGTTGTTTTCCATTCCAATAGTCGAGTAGGCAATCAGTACATACAAGAGGAATTCATATTGATTCCTGTTAGTCCCAATACGTACCTTCTCATCTCTCCAAGGGCACCTTGAAAAATTGTGACATGCAATGGGTTCCAAAATCTGGATTTACCCGTGGGGAAGGCACAAGCACCAAATGGGATGTTGCCGCATTGAAGTGATTTGATCGACAGAAATGATCCATGTATGCAGACAAAATCCAAATTGATGATAACATCAGATGTTTTCTTGATGTTTTTATTTTACATCATAAGGCCATATGTGCTATCATTTTCCATATGTTTCTCCCTGATGCTTTCCAGGTTTATCCATAAACAATTCTACAGGATGGGCCCCCAATTATCAGTTGGTTTATAAAACCATAACAAAACCCCCATTAACTATAGTATACTATAGTTATATCTACCATAAACCATAGAATTCAGCCACTTTTCGCTTCGGCCTTTAAAATGTTATCGCCTGGGGGCCCCATCCTTGCTGAACGTCGAGTCAGGTGAGTCGAACCAGCTCTACAGGGAGCACCACTAGCAGCACCTCGCTTGACCATGAGAAATGATTTAGCCCAATAAAGCTGAGATATCCCAATAAGCATATAGAAAGCCGCCAAAAAACTGTAAGATGTTCTTTGAGATCTATAAGTCGGGATGTTATTCCATTCGAGCGGATTTAGACCCATCCCCCCCCAAAAAAACTAGCTTTTAACTCTCAAAGATATATGGGGATATGATTCACAGATGATGCTTGATTCGATGAGTTTTTTTTTCACCCTTTGAATTTGCTGGAACATGGGGGAGATTTAAATGCCCTTAAATATTCATACTTGATCTTTTAAGTAGTACCTTTTATGACTCAATTAGGGTCCCTATCCCTATTGATTGTAGGATGTTATCCCACTGATAATATAAGCCCCTTAGTTGACATCTAGTCGGCATGAGCAGTAGCTATTTGACGCTTTGAGAAGCTTCAGCTCCAACGAAGGAAGATTCACCGAAGAGCACAACAAAATAACCCCACAATTCCATCCCCCGAAACATGAAACAAATGTCATCCAAACGAAACGTTGTTGTTTCATGCAAAACAAGTTCCATGATTCCAGATTCACGGACTTATGAAATGCACCCAACATGGGATGGTTCTATGAGGGAACACCCATGAACCAATGGTTCATGGCTGTTCTTGCTGTTCCCTCAATGGTTCCTGGGAAATTTATGGGAATTTTATAGGAAAAATCAGACTTAATCAGCATTTCCCATGGAAACGTTGCAAGTTGTATCTGGGCCCATTCTCAGCCCACATGTTCCAGCAGATCAGCTGAGGAAGCAGCACCACCCAGACCAGCTTCACCAGTACCAGGTTGGTGCTCCTCGGGGGTGGCTTGCGAAGAAACCATAGAAGTTGCTGGAAAAACACCATCAGAAATACTGTGGATGGTTGCGAAATCCATAGAAATCCTGCACCAGTTGAAAACGGTGGTAAACATCCCATTATTATCCCATGATTTCTAGGGTTTCAACATGTTTCAACCATCCACTCTTGGTGGTTTATCGGATTTCGCTGGCCCATCCTTTTGGTATGGGGATCAAGTGACTTGTGACCATCTAATTCCTCACATGCAGGGTGGCAAATCCATGCTTTTCTTCAACCATCTTCAACCATCTTCAACCATGTTCAACCCCACTTGAGGTCAGATATACATGGTGATACCATGTGTTATAAACGGTTATTGTGTTTAACCCATTGCTAGTTGCTACTTGCTAATTGCTCACGCCAGCCTCAACCATCACCATCAACCGTCCTTAGAAGTGTTAGATGGATGACAGAACGGATAGCCCGCATCGACTATAGGTTTGTTGCTTTATAACCACCATTCAGCTGTAGTTGTAATTGCCATCAAACCCAGTTGAAGTGGTGATAGTTGCAAACTAAATCCATCTAAATTAGTGGTTAAACACCAAGTTTGCTAACTAAATCCCATTAAATCGCCTTCAACTTTGAACTTGCTATACTTAAAACCAAAAACAACGTCGTTAAAGCACTGAGCAGCACCGTGGCCAGGACCAGCATCACCACTACGGCTCCCTATTCCAAAGCGTGGGAACATTCGCAGGCACCGGAAAGTTTTGGAAGAGTGCGGGCACCTTTTTCAAGAATTGTAGTTCATATCATATCTATTTCTTATTCTGTTTTTTAAAGAATTGTTACTATCAATTTCTCAAAATGGAGGGATCCCCAAAAACCATGGGTTTCAATATGTTTCATAGAAAGATTGTCAAATGTTTTGGATGTTTGTGGGGTACCCCCTTGGATTGGAAACCTTTATACAACTAGAATTATCATCAATTATCTAAGCAAAATAGGATTTTAGTAATACATGTCATTAGCACTATGTTATGACTATGTTATTATCATCATATCATTTGTATACACTGTGATGATGACCTCACGTCGTGATGTCGAATGATGGGTGAATTGTAGGAGAAACATCACATTTGGATTGGCCGCAAGTTTCAGCTAAAGTTCAGCCAGAAAGCTCATGATTGTTGAATTGAAAGGATAAAGGGTTATACAAATTAGTTTAATGTGGTTAAAAGAATAATAAACTACCCATTTAGGAATGGTTTATACCACCTATTTATGGTGGTTTGGGGGATGGTAAACATTGTTTTAACAACATTATTGGAAAACTATTGTGAGCAATAGGGATACGTAGCCGACCAACTATTATGGTGGGATGGGATAGGGCTATTTTTCATGGCTCACTTGAGGTTTCGAGGTTTATGAAATTCTGCATCGCCTTATTTGAATGTGAAATGATCCCCAACTGGTTACTCGGATGGTTGTTTTTCTTGGCTTCACGAAATCACCGGAAAATGATCAATTCAGATTTACGTGTTTACCTTTTGATTGCCCACAGGGGTTTACTTTCTGTGATGTTTGTGCTCTATAAGTATGTGCATGATTACATCATATAGACATGGTTGGGCATATACATATATATATATATGCATAAATAACAGGTAATTCAAGCATATTCCTATTTTAGTGAGGATTTGTATATTTTAATTTTCCAGATTCTATCTACTCCTGGATGACAATATATACACATGTATTAGAAGGATACTTAGCGGGATACTTTTGCGTATCACCTCCTGCTTATCATAAGAGTTTGGTATGGTCGCTCCTTTGTTCCCCCACAAAAGGCGCGTTCTGACAGAGCAAACCTAGCCACAGGGCACTGAATGAAATGGTTTTGAATGATGCACAATCGTTGATAGTGGTTAGTACAGTTATGGCCATTTATCAGTTATAAGTACTAAGAAAACCCCATTTATAGAATGTATAATCCCATAGAAATAACCAGTTGTAACTGGTAGCCATGGCCATAACTGTAATGGTTACTATCAGTGACTAATGGTTATTGATAAATGGAGTTACCCGGCTTGGCAATCAAACCTGGCTAGCTGGAAAACCCTCGAGCACTTGTTGGATGTTTCTAGCTGGGAAAATCATCTAACTCAACCGGTGGCTCTAGTGGCCCCATGCGACCCACTGGCGAATCATCATGGTCTGTCTTGCGACGATATGAAGAAGTTCTGAGGGAAGGGGTTCTTCTGGAGTCAGATGGCCACAACGTTTCCATGCGCCAGACTTGTTGGAGATGGGCGATGGCGTCGTGTTTCCAAAGGTGAGAACAGCACAGCGCTGTTTCCTGTGGCGGTGCGTGGCGTTGTCATGAGTGGAGGCCCAAAAGAGGACGCAGCAGAATCCAGAATCGGGCTGTTCAAGCAAGCGATAGACTCCGATAGACCATTCCAGACCTAGAGATTGAAATCCAGCACTGCTGGTGGGAGTATATCGTCGTTGTTGATCTATCACCATTGTTATCACTTAGATCAAGTCCACATGTTTTGTGGTTTGACCACCCTATAATGCCCGAATATGCCCGAATACATCTTGGGAGGCTACTTGAATCCATAGGAGCCAATTACAGTTGATTCATGTCAAATTCCACTGAATCATTGAATTTTCTGGGTGTCAAAAAATGCCAAAGATGCAAGACTTTAGCACAAAAAACACCCATTCCTCCAGGCTGTTGCAATCTTTCCAGAAGGCGAATTCTTCAAATCATATTGGATCATCCAATTCCAATATGAAATCGCTCTTTTATATATTCAATCATATATGAAATCCATTGAAATCCCTATAGTCTATAGTAAAACATGGATTAAATCATATTATATCATGTATGTATGTTTTAGTAAAACATATTAAATCTAATATTAAATCATATATCTTTCCTGGCAACATTTGGCCAGGATTTGAACTGCTATTGGGGTGCTGGTGGCAACTCCGCGCGGAACGGCAAAGATTCTCGGTCGCACTGACTCGTTTTTTTTCGTGAAAGAGACGGCACAGGAAACGCCCGGCTGATTTGGAGATATAACATATATTAAAATATTGTTTGCTGATATAGTACATATTTGGAGATTATAAAATATGGTTTACTCTAGATTATAGACAGATGTAGTATATACTCTAAATATAGGGTATACCCCATTTTGAACAATTATACTGTAGGCGTGCCTGAAAATACGGGACATCCTAACATGTGCCAGATTTTCCCTCAAACCAACTCATTGACATTGCTTAATCAAACCCAAATGTGCGTTCTTGGATTATGAAGTTATACATCCATTTCTTTGGGCAAACTATAACAACCGCCTGATCTAACCACAAGAGATGGATACGTCAGGAAGATATCTCAAAATGGCTTGAACTTATTCTCCAACATACTTAAATCATCTTAAATCCCTAGAATTTGTGCAGTAGTTTCCAGGTACAACATCCTCAACAAAAACTCTCTAGAAAACCATCCAGAACGATGGTGAGTCCATCCCTTTGCTGGAGATATCTACGAGTTTCCATTGCGCAACTTGCAACAGGGAAGAGCGTAGATATTGGCGTATTGCGCTCTTAAATTGGGATCATTTGGATTTGGATACTGTCTTGGTGTTCACCCATGTGACATTGATGGTTTGCACTCTTTTTTATTTGTAAGTGCGAAAACTCGACGAGTATGAAGTGCAACTGTGGGAAACCCATGTGTCGTCCTTGACTGAATCCATCGCAGATTGTAGGTGTTCCCGGAGTCCCAATCTGTGCATGTCTAGGGTTTCTGTTGGTGTAATGACGAATCGACTATTTGAGATTCATGGCAGATATTGATGGTTGAACGGGTTTGGAAATATCAATGTATAATATACATATAGTATATAGATAGTCATCCTGGAATAGATCGAAAATGGAATGTTTAAATATTCCCCACTAAAACGGATTATCTTTTGAAAATTCCATGTTCTATCTACGCTTCAGGATATGATTTCTATATTTATACCCGAATAACATCCATAACATGGGGGTTGCCACCTACATGTCTCCCAGCCTCTTTTCCTTGGCACCGGCCTCAGGACTTCATTGGCTTACTGCCACTGGAAGACTGTCTCAAGGATAGGGAGAATCTAAAGATATCTAGAGGAAAGCCATGGGTTTTACCGTGAACTTGCTTGGGGATATACCAATACATACATGTATATATATATATGGAGACTTTCTGTGATGGATTAATATGTATCATTAAATAGCCAATGATTTTTTCGATCAAACTGGAAGAGAATTCGGAGAATTCACATCAACCAACTAATCTCAGGGCTATGATTGAAAATAGTTGGGACATATGTGCCAACACACCAGGGATACCCACCAAGATACTAGGTATTAGCACAAATCCAAGAATATATATGCCCTAATATATGCCAACTAGGATCTTTGGATTATACATATATGATTCACCAACACATTGGGATCTTTGGATTTGTCCAAAAAAAACAAGATGAAGCCCACGAACCCGAATGCTCACACGTATGTTAATGGTACAGATGTCAAAACACATGGTTATGCAGTCACGCACAATACCTTTCTGCAATAGTTTATTTGAACAGTCTTGTACATGTTTCCCTTGTTACCAGTCTGCAGTGTGGAGTGGAAAGTGTAGAGTGTGGAGTGTGAAGTAAGGAGTGTGGAGTGTAAAGTGTGGAGTGGGGAGTGTAGAGTGTGTAAAGTGTAGAATGCGGAGTGTAAAGTGTAGAGTGTGGAGTATGGAGTGTAAAGTGTAGAGTGTGGAGTGTGGAATGTAAAGTGTAGAGTGTGGAGTGTAAAGTGTGGAGTGTAAAGTGTGGAGTGAGGAGAGTAAAGTGCAAAGCGTGGAGTGTAAAGTGTGGAGTGTAGAGTGTATAGTGTAGAGTGTAAAGTGTAGAGTGTGGAGTGTGGGGTGTAAAGTGTGCAGTGTAAAGTGTGGAGTGTAAAGTGTGGAGTGTAAAGTGTGGAGTGTGGAGTGTAAAGTGTGGAGTGTGGAGTGAGGAGTGTAGAGTGTGGAGTGTGGAGTGTAAAGTGCGAAGTGTAAAGTGTGGAGTGTGGAGCGTAAAGTGTAGAGTGTGGAGTCTGGAGTGGAAAGTGTAGAGTGTGGTGTGTAGAGTGTGGAGTGTGGAGTGTGGAGTGTAAAGTGAGGAGTGTAAAGTGTGGAGTGAGGAGTGTAAAGTATAAAGTGTGGAGCGTGGAGTGTACAGCAAAGTGTGTGAGTGCGGAGTGTGGAGTGGAAAGTGTAGAGTGTGGAGTGTGGAGTGTAAAGTGGGGAATGTGGAGTGTAGAGTGTGGAGTGTTGAGTGTAAAGTGTGGAGTGAGGAGTGTAAAGTGTGGAGTGCGAAATGTGGAGTGGAAAGTGTAGAGCGTGGTGTGTAGAGTGGAGTGTGGAGTGTAAAATGTAAAGTGTGGAGTGTAGAGTGTAGAGTGTGGAGTGTGGAGTGTAGAGTGTAAAGTGTAGAGTGTAAAGTGTAGTGTGGGGAGTGTAGAGTGTAAAGTGACGATTGTAAAGTGTGGAGTGCGGAGTGTAAAGTGTGGAGTGTGGAGTGTAAAGTGTGGAGTGTGGAGTGTAGAGTGTGGAGTGGAAAGTGTGGAGTGTGAAGTGTGGAGTGGAAAGTGTGGAGTGTGAAGTGTGGAGTGTAAAGTAAGGAGTGTGTACTGTAAAGTGTGGAGTGTAAAGTGTAGAGTGTGGAGTGTAAAGTGTAGAGTGAGGAGGGAGGAGTGGAAAGTGTAGAGTGTAGTGTAAAGTGTGGAGTGTGGAGTGTAAAGTCTCAGGTGAGGAGTGCGGAGTGCAAAGTGCAAAGTGTAAAGCCTGGAGTGTAAAGTGTAGAGTTTGGAGTCTAAAGTGTAAATTGTGGAGCGTGGAGTGTAAAGTGTAGAGTGTGGAGCGCGGAGCTTCCCCCATAGACACGGCGACGCCACAGGAAAACCAGAGACTCGAGACGAGACACGTGCGTGCAAAAAAACGAGCATTTCGTGCGAGACGTCCTCCAGTTTTGATATTTTCCACACGTTATCAAGCAGGTTGGAATGTCACAAAGTGCCACGCCTGCCACGCAAAACGACATGACAACCTGCTTGGACACATTCGAATAGGAGATGTTTTCCAGCTTCCCCCATAGACACGGCGACGCCACAGGAAAACCAGCGACTCGAGACAAGACACGTGGATGCAGAAAAACCAGCATTTCGTACGAGACTTCCTCCAATTTTGACATTTGCGAGCCACGCAAAACGACATGACAACTGCTTGGACACATTCGATAGGAGATGTTTTCCAGCTTCCCCCATAGACACGGCGACGCCACAGGAAAACCAGCGACTCGAGACAAGACACGTGGATGCAGAAAAACCAGCATTTCGTACGAGACTTCCTCCAATTTTCACAGTTGGCAACATGACAAAAGGACAAGTTTTGCAGCTTCCCCCATAGACACGGCGAGGCCACGGGAAAACCAGACACGCGAGACGAGACAGGTGGGAGCACCAAAACGAGCATTTCGTGCGAGACTTCCTCCAATTTTCACACTTTGTAGCTTCAAAATCGACGTTTTCCTACGAGTTTTCCTTAGAACCTGAAAATTTGCAACCTCAAAATCGATGTTTCGTGCGAGGCTTCCGTCAATTTTCAGCACATCGCACAAAATGCCACGACTGCCACGGAATTTGCACCTTGTCGCCACTTGACGCAGCCCTGCCAATGCGATTTACAAAAAGCACGCAACAGATCGCAACAGGACACGTCTAAAGTGCTGCGCCTGCCACGAAAAATGACGATGGACACGTCCAAAGTGCTGCGTCTGCCACGAAAACTGCAACACATCTTCTGAAAACGTCACAAAAGTATTGCGCCTGCCACGCAAAACGATTTTCAACACGTTGCAAAACACGTCTGAATGTCACGAAGTGCCACGCCTGCCACGCGAAACGAAGCAACGACACGTCTGAAACCTCTAGAAATGACCACCTGTGCAGAACTTCCCACAGGCACGGCCATACGGGGATCGCGCGAACGGTTGCGAACGGTTGCGAACGGTTGCGGACGGTTGCGGACGGTTGCGGACGGTTGCGGACGCGGACGCAACGTCTAGCGAACACACCCTCAACCCCCAGACCCCCACCAGAGTGAAACGGGAACCCTTGCTACGCATTCGGGAAAAGGATACTCCACCCGCCATCTCTTCTCCATAGGTTTGGAACATGACATGGGGCCAATGGACATAACAAGGCCTAGATAATCCTTAGATATATCCAAATTGATCTAGGTGATAATCCTAGATAATCCTAGATAATCCTTAATTAGATATCCTAGATTAGATATCCAAATTATTCATTGATCACAGAAATTCTCAACATCAAAATCTGGCCACGTCAGAGTATCAGCAGTGTGCTCTGGTGGTTGTGAAAAATAGTGTATCAGATTCGACCAACACTACCAAGGTTGGCTCACAATTGGGGGAAGTCACTTTTGGGAGGGTTGAGTCCCACGTTTGTTGATTAGCCTCACCATTGATATACTGTATGTATGTATATATGTATATGTGTATACCCCTATCTATCTACAGTAAGCGCTGCTCAAATTTACATGTCTTGTGGTGAAACTCTTATTTTTTCTGCGCAATGCAGATGTTACAATTTGTGAATCTGGAACATGCACACTTCAATCTATGTTTCCATTTGTGGAATTCAAATAAATTTGAATCCCACTAAATCCCACACATTTCATCATTATAGCCACCTAAATACCATGAAATATCATCATTACATCACCAGGATATCCCACTACATCGCCGTTTTTGGTGCTGAATATATATATATATATATAATGCATAGATAGATAGATGGATGGATAGATAGATAGATGGATGGATGGATAGATAGATAGATAGATAGATAGACATATACACAGATAAATAGATAGATAGACAGATAAATAGATAGACAGATAGATAAATCGATAGACAGATAAATAGATAAATCGATAGACAGACAGACAGACAGACAGACAGACAGACATATAGATAGGTAGATAGATAGATAGATAGATAGATAGATGGATATACTATAATAGCACTAGTTGAAGAAAACTAAATCATGGAAAAAACATGCCACGGTCGCGCTAGGAGTGTGCGAAGCTGCCGGACGTCTGTGAAGCGTCGCTGTACCAGGATACCGGTGGTCTCTTGGCTGCGCTCAGATCCCCAGCAAAAAAATGAGAAAAACATGGGGATTTCACCAACACAAAATGGTGATGTCCATTGATTTATCCAGCAAACAGGGGGGAAATACATAGATTTATTCCAACACAAATAGGGATTTCTGGTTGATGTATGTTAGCTAAGTTGGTTTAGTTCAAGTATGTCACTAGGGTTTATGGTAATGCATATGCAGAGAATGAGGTGGAACTAAATAAATCAACACACATCACTGGGGGTGTGAACTTGTCTTTGTTATTTCAGGATGTATATAAATAAACATCTGTGTAACTACTTGTAATCAAACTATTTACAGGCAGATTACATTTCGAAATTCATAGAAATTGTTGATGTTCATTCATTATCCACGTAATTAACAGCGAGACAACATATTGAAAGATAGAAAAGTGGTTTTCCGGCTGCCATGCATGATCTAACAAAACTATATAAATAGAAACACTCACAGTTTGCAGGTTTGCATTTTTTGGGTTGTCAGAAATAAAATATCAAACAACCATATGGGAACTTCAGCAACAATACTTAGGATCAGCCTGGCATCATGAGCTTCGTTTCTGGATGTTTCTGTATTTGCAAAAGCTCTGGAATGGTGAGGTAAGGGTTGCCAGCATAGTCTGTTTGCAAAAGTCACATTGGCTTTATGTCCAGCATGCAGTCAAGCTACATCAAGCTACAACTGGTGACATAACTCTAGAACAATACTATGCAGGTACAGACATGTACCAACTCCACACAGACTCAAGGATAGCAGATGACACAAGCAGAAACGAACCCCCAAAGATGTTGCCCTAATGGGTCTATATGTCTATTATACAATTGGTCTGCGGTTTCTACGGCTGGAACTCCATAAAATTTCCCTTTAACAACACATATACATGTACATACATAACATACATATATATATATATTATCATATATAATTATATATAGTGAAATAAAATATATGATATATAGTTATATATATATTATAGTTATATATATTATTCACAATGGGCCCCTTTCAATATGGAACTCCATAGTCAACTCCTTGGAATCTCGCCTCGAGACGACATGGCAACTCAGGTCATGTTGGCAACTGCTGGCTCAGGCGCATGGAGGGTCATCCTTTATAAATGATGAATGGTTAACGACGATGTTTTTTTTAATTAAAGATTAACCATTTATAACCATTAATGATATGATGACGAGTAGCTACAATTAATGATGGCTATAACCATGATTATAACCTTTATATGTGATGAAAAGCAATTATACCATGGTTATAGATGGTGAGAGTTGTGGTTTCTGTTCTTTTTTCCTCATGATTACAATACTGATCAATGATTGGTCGATGTAACTAGTGAAAGAATTACTGATGGCCGCAACTGGGGGCGGAGCAAGCCTGTCAATGGTCATTGATGGTGATTGGTTGGTTATCATGAATGGTTCTGTAAATGGTGAATTAACATTAATGACTGATAGATGGTAATAGTGGTTCGACATTCACGATGAGAAAGGTAACTATTCCCCAACAATGGTAATAATGATAGATGGAAACGCTGGTAATTAAAAAAAATACGCTGGATTTTCATGGCTTTGGTATGGAATTCGCGCAGACCGTGTCAGCGAGGCCAAGCAACTTGCGAGTCACAACGGGCCAAGTCAAGAGATCTCCGCCGGAAATAACTCAGATACCAGTGGATATTTATTAAAACATATTAAACACCCATGGAAGAAATCACTATTAAATGAGTCAATGAGTCGAGTTTGAAAGTCTCAGAACCTCAATTATTCAAATTCGTCCATGGAATTATCATTGTCATCAAAGATGGCGGGTCGCTAGGAAGCGCCGTACTAAATGAAGGTTTATAGACGGGACGATCATGTTTGATGACACCAGACTGGGTAACAAATTCCGGGGCTTTCGCCACGTTCATTTCTTCTCATTTTGTTGGAAAATATGCTGTATCAAAGTGAAGCAAAAGTGACATCTGAAGAAAAGAGTTTTTTGGCTTCATGGATGTTCATTTTCATTTTTAGATGAGTGACAATCACACGTTTAAGTCCCAGCATTTGATGAAAGGACAATTAATTGTTCCGGAAGCCCGTGGAATTGTTGGAAATAGACAATGTCTTTCTTTTTTAACATGTGTTTATCATTCTCAAAAGCAACTGACCCTTCATTAAGAAGTGTGGACGTTAAAACACAATATGATACCCTTAGGGCGCCCCGGAATTTAAGAAGCATGGTCATAACCCAATCATTTTACTGGTTGGTGGTTTGGAACATTTTTTCCATATATTGGGAATAATCATCCTAACTGACTTTCATATTTTTCAGAGGGGTTGAAACCACCAATCATTTTAGTGCTAGGACGTTAGGACTGTTAGGACTTCAGGACGACTGCGGATTTATTCTACAATACTGTACAAACCATTGAGCAGTGCTTAAATTTCAAAAGCCTTTGAACATCTGTTTGAAGCTTAGAAGCTATCTTTGGTGATATCCCTCAATCACACATGGCAATGAAGAATTCCCCATGATATCCCTCAGCTACAAACCTCCATTTAGTAACCCGGGATTTTGTGGGTTACTGACCTTCATCAGCTCCCTGGATCCAGCTGGGATGCTGGGATGCACATCCACTGAGTGTCCTGGACATCTGGAGGTCCCAATTGGTGTTGCCGGAGTGTGTGAAAGTACCTGGCTATAGCCTTTGGTCCTTCGGCTGCATTGGACATCTGCAGATATGATGATATGGTGGTTCGGGACCCATTGAAACATAGCAAAAAAATGCAAAAAAAGCAAGCAGGGAAGAAATGATCACCCATAGTTGATATGTATTTGCTAACATTTTCCCCAAGAAAATCCATGTTTGCTATGTATTTAATTACCCCAAACATGACCGGATACCGGTAAGTTAAAATGCCGTATATGGATGTATATGGCGCATATATTCTCATGTGATGATTGACAATTCCCACGACATACACAAATTAGCGCCAAAATTAATCCTCAAACCTCTAGTCATCAAATTCTGAAAATTCTTCATCAACAGTTCCAATCGCATTTGATGAAACCAGAATTTCTTTCCCTCCCCTTGGCCAAGCGTGGAACTTTGCCCAGATCTCAGGTCCTTAAAATGGAGAAGGTTTTCCTTTAAACACCAACCCCCCCTGCTCTTCATTTAAAGATCCAATAGTCCATTTCCTCTAGTATTAAACACCCACCACAAACCATGGTTTAATATGTTTTAACAGGAAATAAACACACATTTGGGACAATGGTTGAAAACCCGATGTCATACTCTGAGGTTTTCACCCGCAGTGGCCACAATTTTAAAGAAAAAGTGACAAGGCACGAGGGACTGGTGCGACTGCGGAGGTTGAGGATGGATCTAACCGGAGCCGGGTTTGATGGTAAGATGACCGAACAGCTCGAAAGTGAGAAAGTACATGAGTCAACAATGTCAAACAGCTCACAGTCATGGTGTGAAATTGGAAACCACAATTTCCGATCAGCATTGCTTACTGGACATAATTGATTTTTCAGAACATTGGGATTTCCTACCAAAAACCCAGTCAAGATGCTTCCCCAGTTTCTCAGCTAAGTTACAAGTCAATAAGATTCAATAATTCAATAATTATATATACGTATTTGAGACACATATCATTGTTGACACTATATCATAATGGCAATTCTAAAAAGACAACAAACACATCAGCACTGACGAATACTGACGACCCCACCTTGTTGTCCTTTGATTGCCCACCTCGGCCTA